AACCAGGGGTAGTCAACCTTGGCTCTTTTATGACTCGTGGACTTCAACTCCCAGAATTCCTGAGCCAGCATGGCTGGCTCAGGAATTCTGGGAGTTGAAGCCCACGAGTCATAAAAGAGCCAAGGTTGACTACCCCTGCTTTAAACATTCAACGTTGCGCCTTCAGCGGCGCCGAGATGGTTACGTCCTGTAGCCCGGTTGCAGCCCTGGCTGCTCTTGCAAGCCTCCGATCGCCTTAGCTTCAAGAGCTTGGAGGCTCCCTTGGTTGGTGCTTGAGAGGCCTTCGCTTTCAGTAGTTGATGGCGGTAATCCTGTCGAGGCCACTTCTCTTGTTTTACGATTAGGATGTGTAGACGTCAAAAAAGGCTGTTGCCAGGCCCCGAGACAACTGCTTCTTGATTGCGGAAAGTCGTTTGTGCTCAGCTCCTCCTGGCACGTGTGCGTTTCACGAGAAACAACCCTTCTCCACTTGTCCAGGGCTCCACCTGGTTTACTGTATTTTTGAGATTTTTGCTCAAAAGACTTTGCAGAGACTAAAGGTAAAGTTAAAATGTACAAAAAACACACAAACCCTGAAGGTAACTTTGTAATTGTTCTTAGAAAATTAACATAGGAGCTTTTTCCTTGATATTTTTTTGCTAAAGTATATAGTTATTTTATTTAAAAATAAAACAGGTAACATACAGGTAATCCCCCGAGTTACGAAGGTTCCCTTAAGTAAGTGTTCAAAGTTACGTGATAAGCGCCCTCTAGTGTTTACGAACAAGTTCAGAAATTATGAATATTGCAGCACCAAGGCAGTCGTTCACCCTTGCTAACGACCGTTCACCCTTGCTAACGACCGTTCACCCTTGCTAACGACCGTTCACCCTTGCTAACGACCGCAGAGGTACTGCAACATTCACCCTGACTATTCCCTTGAGGAAAAGCCTTTGCTGCTGAGAACGGAGTTCCGAATTGATGTGCGCGTTGCTCCCGGCCTCCGTTTTTGTCAGCAAAGGCCTTGAGGAAAAACCTGTGCTGCCAAGTACGGAGCTCCGGATTGAGGCGCATGTCGCTCTCAGCCTTTTCATTGGTAAAGGCCTTCTGAGGCGCGTGTTGCTCCCAGCCTTTTTTCATCGGTAAAGGCCTTGAGGAAAGCAGGGAGTGATGGTGTTCAAGGTACGCCATTCACTTTTATGAATCCTCGAGTTACAATTGGAATGGGCAGGCTCCATTACATTCATAACTCGAGGACTACCTGTACATTTTGGGAAGGCTAAAGGTTGTATTTACCAGTCTATTAATCTGAAATAAATCAGGAAATACAACGTATTTGTAGATGGATTCCAGGCAATTTTGCTTGCAAGTACTGCTAAAGTATATATGTTGTTATAAAAAGTATTTAGAATTGCAGCTGCATCTGTGTTAAATTGAAATGTTACCTTTGCTTTGACTTTGAATGTTTTGTGTTCCAGCTTCTGTCATAAATTCCAGCCTCCAAAATTTATATTACTACAGTGTCACTTGAAAATTGTACATTGAACAGTTTCAAATAAATGTCTTTGTATAGTTACATAATAAGATACATCAATGTTAGTATGTTACTTGCTTCCTTTTATCTTTGTTTACAACTAGAAGATAGTAATTTTAATTGGACTGTGCAGACATTAACAAACTTGTTTGAATCGTGTGTTTTTTAATTTTGTTTTTAGTAATGTAATAAGATAAGGATGTGAAACTCCAAGCATGTCATTGGTAGCATAATTCAAGAATGTATCAATTTCATAAATTCACATATATTTGAAAGATAAATAATGAATTGATGCATAATCTTGTTTAGGATAGAGGAATTATTTATATCCACTTCTACAAATTAAGTAGGACTTGTTAGTCAAGCATTTCTAGCTATTTATTTTTTATTCCACCCTTTTAAAAATACATTTTGGTCAATTCAAGGCAATAAAGTCTTATGGTCATACAATCTCTACTTAAATTCTGTCTGAAGTTAAGTCATGACTTAGTCCACAGTTTTTCACTTCGGTCCCTTTTAAATGTTAAAGACTATTATTTTTATAATATGTTTTATATAATCAGTTACTGATTTTATGCAATTTCAAATAATATATTTTAGTAGAAAGTAAATGGAAAAAAATGTTAATTCAATCTGAACAATTACAAATTTACATTAAGGGTTTGTGTTTGTATATCTTAGCTTATACATTTTATTTATTTAATACTTACTTTTATATGTTATCCTATCTGCATACTCTAGACTATTTATATCCATAAAAGAGGCTTGCTATTCTTAATAACAGCCAAGTCATATTACAAACTTAAAACACAATCAGAAGCAGTATTTAGACTTACTAGTATTCTGACCCTGTAGGGATGGAGAACCTAATTAATATTGTCTATTGTATATATTGCACATCTTGGAGTACAGGTAGTCTTGGTAAGGCCACACTTGGAATACTGCATCCAGTTTTGGTCACCACGATGTAAAAAAGATGTTGAGACTCTAGAAAGAGTACAGAGAAGAGCAACAAAGATGATTAGGGGACTGGAGGCTAAAACATATAAGGAGCGGTTGCTGGAATTGGGTATGTCTAGTTTAACAAAGAGAAGGACGAGGGGGGACATGATAGCAGTGTTCCAATATCTTAGGGGCTGCCACAAAGAAGTGGGAGTCAGGCTATTCTCCAAAGCGCCTGAAGGCAGGACAAGAAGCAACGGGTGGAAACTAACCAAAGAGAGAAGCAACCTAGAACTAAGGAGAAACTTCCTGACAGTTAGAACAATTAACCAGTGGAACATCCTGCCTCCAGAAGCGGTGAATGCGCCAACACTGGAAGTTTTTAAGAAGAAACTGGACAGCCATTTGTCCGAAATGGTATAGGGTTTCCTGCCTGAGCAGGGGGTTGGACTAGATGACCTCCGAGATCCCTTGCAACTTTATTATTATTATTATTATTATTATTATTATTATTATTATTATTATTATTATTATTATTATTATTATTATTATCACAATTGAGCTCAAAATTTATGTTGCTAAATGAGACATTTGTTAAGTGAATTTTGACTCATTTTGCTACCTTTCTTGCCCCAGTTATTAAGTGAATCAGTGCAGTTGTTAAGTTAGTAACACGGTTGTTAAGTGAATCAGCAACCGCCATAAATCTGAACTAGTCACCAAGTGTCCAAATTTTGATCACGTGACCATGGGGATGGTGAATAGTCATAAGTGTGAAAAATGGTCATAAGTCACTTTTTCAATGCAGTTGTAACTTGGATCACTAAATGACAGGATGGATTTGATTTAAATCACGATTTAAATCATGATTTAAATCACTAGTAAAAAGGCTTGATTTAAATCAACTTGATTTAAATCATAATTTTTAAAGAGCAACTGTCATCTCTGTTCCGCAGCAGCTCCTCCTCTGACCTGCTGTTGACTCACCAACAGTCCCATTCATTTTAATGGGACGGCTGGTGATGCAGCAGTGACACAACAAGGTGAGGGACGTGGCAGGCAGCAGGTGAGTGGATGCCCACTAACAGGCGCAATGACAGGTGCTCTTTAAATGTAAGGACTCATTCTTGCTGGTAGTTAGAATCTTTAATATTATTATTTGCAAACAAAATGAAGGTTTCCTATTTAGAATAATAATCTGTCAGTTTAGTAAAACAGCAACATCAGAGCCGATTTTAGGTTAATAGGTTAATCACACATACCGTGTGATTTCCCCCGAAAATTAGACCTACCCCAAAAATAAGACCTACCCTGATTTTTGGGAATGGGCCTAAAATAAGCCCTAGTTAGGACCCTGCCCACTCTGTCCCACCTCGCTGCCGCAATGGGGCAGGAAAGCACGGGTGGTGCCACTGCCACCACAATGAGGCAAGGCAGGTGGGGGAGGGATGTGGAGCTGCCCCACATGCCCCACACCCACTTACTTCAGGAACTCCCCCCCAGCCAGGCCATTCCTTTCTCGGCGACCTTCCCTTTCACTCCCCTCCTGAGCCGGACTACCATGCTACGGAGGATGGGTGAGATAGGCCCAGTCCCCCTCCGTCATTTCGGAGCCAGGGGGAGTGATGGCAAAAGGTTCCGCTGCTGCTGTTTACCACTGGAGGGGCTTTTTTTGTGCTTCAGCCAACAGATCACCTGTCTGGCGGCAACCGACTCCTCCTATTCCACCAACTCTCCTGTGGCTTGCGCCATGACTGGGCAGTGCAAGCCTCCCCTGCCGCCTCTCTCCGCCAGCCCTCCATCGCCGCCATTGGAGTGAATGAAAAACGGCGAGGGGAGCGGCTCTGCGCAGTGATGCAGAGCAGACAAGACAAGAGCACTTGCTTGCTGCTCTACATCGTCCTGCCTTTCCCTTCTCTTTCTGGAAATGGTAGCCCCGTTTCCTGCCGCTTCTCCTCCTGGCACTGCTGTAGAGTTTGGCGCACTACCATCCAGCTCCTCTTTCTTCCCAAAAGCATTTCTTCACTAACCTGCTTTCATTACCCAAGATAGGTAACATCTCAAAAATGGGCATTTTTTGGAGGGCTTCCTTCTCTGATACACACACACACACACACTCCAGTTTTGAGGCAAGGGTAATTCTCATTATTCTGGTCTTCCAAAAGCTTGTAAAAATTTGGCTATTCTGGATGGTCTTTGGAATTTGATGCTGTAGAACTCCTAGTGGCAAGAATATTAATGTAATGTAATGCAACACAGCATAATGCAACACAACACAATATATAACTTTACTGTAATTTTATATTTATTATATAATTTTAATTTTATAATATTATTACTGCATTGTGTGCAGCCATTACTTTTGTACCACTTAGAATATGTTTTACTCATGTGGTTTATTAACTTAGCTGTATGTAGTTTGGATTTCTTAATGTTTGTAAAGATAAAATGTGAAAAGATAGTAAGGATTTTATTTGTTCTTAGGAACTAGTTGGTGATGAATCTCCAGGAAAACAAAAAGAAAATCAAGAACCAGATCCTACATATGAAGAAAAAATGGTGGGTATTTTGTATTAATAAACATTGTAGTGTTGGTAATTACTTCAGGAGTTGATAGTTTGGTTCATGCACTGGGCAGCCAAGCATCTGAAACTTGGACTGATCTCTCAAATAGGCTTGATGTTTTATCAATGTTTATTTTGGGAGAGCTTTAAAGAATGGGAATAGTAGCAGTTCGTTTTCTAGAAGCCACCTCCTATTTGTACTCTTAAGTTTCCTTCAAAGTCTGTTGACATCCCCCACCCAGTTTTCAGCCACACATTTCTAGCAGTGTCACTGTAATCAGAAGGCTTCCTTGACTCTCTCAAAGATTGGATGCTAAATTATGGTATTTTCTGGTTTTGCCCCACATTATAATTGTTTTTCAAATGTTGAAAATTCTAGAATTTGATTTTCTTTCATATAATCGTTCTTGTTTTTTTGCTAATCTTTATAACTTTATTGCAGCAAACTGATCGAGCAAACAGATTTGAATATCTGTTGAAGCAGACAGAATTGTTTGCACATTTCATTCAGCCTGCTGCTCAGAAAACTCCAACTTCACCCTTAAAAATGAAACCAGGACGACCAAGAATAAAAAAAGATGAAAAACAAAACCTGTTATCTGTTGGCGAGTGAGTACCAATATTTATTCTGAAAATGTGTTATTGTAAAATATTTTTAGTGCCTTTCAATTGTAATGTGCAAAGGGGGTCATGCAACTAAATAAATAAATTTGAAACACAAAGATAGATCATGATTGAATACAAATATGTAGACATCAGGATAGATTACATTTAAATTGTCTGGGGAGGTCTATCTCTGATGAGAATTGATAGAGCCATATATGTGAATAGCAATAGCACTTAGACTTATATGTCACTTCATAGTGCTTTACAGTCCTCTCTAAGCAGTGTACAGGGTCCGCATATTGCCCCCAACAATCTGGCTTCTCATTTTACTGATCTCGGAAGGATGGAAGGCTGAGTCAATCTTGAGCCGGTCAGGATCGAACTTCTGGGAGTCAGCAGAATTAACCTGCAATACTGCATTCTAATCACTGCGCCTCCGCAACTCTTCACCGTGAAACTCTTCAGTCTGGCATATAAGGAATACTTTCTATAAGCAATACCTTCTATCGTATTGGTCACCACAATGTAAAACAGATGTTGAGACTCTAGAAAGAGTACAGAGAAGAGCAACAAAGACGATTAGGGGACTGGAGGCTAAAGCATATAAGGAACGGTTGCTGGAATTGGGTATGTCTAGTTTAATGAAGAGAAGGATGAGGGGGGACATGATAGCAGTGTTCCAATATCTCAGGGGCTGCCACAAAGAAGAGGGAATCCAGCTATTCTCCAAAGCACCTGAAGGCAGGAAGGAAGCAACGGATGGAAACTAACCGAAGAGAAGCAACCTAGAACTAAGGAGAAATTTCCTGACAGTTAGAACAATTAACCAATGGGACAACCTGCCTCCAGAAGCGGTGAATGCTCCAACACTGGAAATTTTTAAGAAGAGACTGGACAGTCATTTGTCTGAAATGGTATAGGGCAGTGATGGCGAACCTTTTAGAGACCGAGTGCCCAAACTGCAACCTAAAACCCATTTATATATCATCGGATGCTGGGTGGGCGTGGCCCATTGGGTGAGCGTGGCTGTGGTGGTAACGGCAGACTGAGTGGGACTAAAAAGTTCAATCAATTCCAACTTTGAGAGATCTTTTTTTTCCCCCGCGAAAAGTTGAAATTGATTGATTGATTGAACCTTTTTTTTTTGCACAGGCGGCGGAGGCCTAAAGCGAAAAGGTTTTATAAAACCCAACTGAAGGCCTAGGACTGGGGCGACGGCGCGCGTGCCCATAGAGAGGGCTCTGCATGCCACCTGTGGCACACGTGCCATAGGTTCGCCACCACGGGTTATAGGGTTTCCTGCCTGAGCAGGGAGTTGGACTAGATGACCTCCAAGATCCCTTCCAACTTTATTATTATTATTATTGTTGTTGTTGTTGTTGTGATGTTTAAGAAAACTTTTAAAAGATACCCTTTTTGTTTGGCTTTTAACAGTGTCTAGTTGGTTGTTGGTGAGAAGTTTTAATTTAATGTCTTAAATAAGAATATCTATTTATTGTGGATTTATTTTAATGTGGTTTATGTCTATCATCCAGAGACTTTGTAGTGGATTGCCTTTTAATACAAGGTTAAAAAAAAAAATTAGTGAAGAGATGAAAATAGGAAAAAAATTGGACAGGGAAATAAGTTAAAAAAGAAGCTTAAAATACAATAAATAAATATGCAAATATACATCTGTTCCTTTGATTTTGCCAGTATCTATTGGACAGTATTCATTTTAAAACTTAACAATTTCCAGACCCCATCTTTGATTGTCCTTTTCTCAGCATGTGATACCCTTCCTAATTTTGAATTGGAGAGAAATAAAAATCAGCCTTTCATTAGAATGGGCAGCAAATTTTTCCTAATAGAGTTCCATGTATGCTGCTTTGAATATTTTCAGAATCAAATGAAATTGCAGGCATGATCTTAGTTCAGTTTCTGGTTTTCATGATTGAAAGAAGGAAAACTGACATGGCAATGTGCTGTGATGAGATTGGATGATTTAGAAATGGAAAAAAAAGTCATTAATACTTTCTGAAAACGACAAAGTAGAAGAACCATACAGAGCATAGTAATAGTTGTAATTAATAATAGTTGTTTGGGAAGCAGGAAAAAAGTGAGCTAAAGAATGGAGAATTAGCCAATAGCATCTTGAACTGTGAATAGCTGCCTCTCACATGAAATGCACTGTGAATTTTTTTAATTGATTGTTTTTCTCTTCAGGCCTCAAATAACCATTATTATTATTATTATTATTATTATTATTATTATTATTATTATTATTATTATTATTATTATTATTATTATTATTATTATTATTATTATTATTATTTACTTCTTCCCCCAACCAAATGTTTTCCAATAATTTGAATTTTTAGGTAGTAATAACTTGGACAATGTCATGAATCCTGTTACATAAATGCTTTTCAACATGTATTGGATTGAAAAGTATAAAAAGTTTTGATGGATGCATTTTTTTTCATCCAAATAAGAGTTTAGCTAAACAGTTTGTAATATCTGTTAACTGTAAAATTTTGGCTTGTTTTGGAATCTACAATAATTACTGTTTATTTTCTTAACATTTTTATTTTTTCTAGCTATCGGCATCGTAGAACTGAACAGGAAGAAGATGAGGAGCTTTTAACAGAAAGTTCCAAGACTACTAATGTATGCACTCGATTTGAAGACTCTCCATCCTGTATGTAATACTTTGTGAACTGTCCAAAATTAAAAGATTTTGATACTTACTTTGCTCATTTAATATAATAGAATTGACACATTTGCCAATATTATCCAACTCAAATTACTATATTTTTGAAATGTTATATGCTTCCTTTCAAAACAAATCTTCCTACAACAGATTAGAAAATATTCACACTGGTATTTTGAATAAAAGTTTGCATGCAAACTTTTAAATATACAGTACTTGTTCTGCCATTATGCTTTACTTTTTTATTCATTATATCCAACTTTTAATAGAATGAAAACTATTTTTTTGAAGGAATATATTTCTGACAAAAAATGGGAACGTGTTTTTAATTTTCTACAACATTATATTTCCAAACTGGATTCTAAATTGAGTATCAAATTCATGAATAGGGGTTCCCAACCTGTTTACTGTGGCCCACTACCAGGCCACCGGGCCACATGAGTGGCTGGCCAGTGTGCGCATGTGCATGAACACGCACAGTCCCACTTTACAGGTGTTCGTGGCCCCACTTGCACAAGCGTTGCTGCAAGCATTGTGGGTGTTTGTGGACCCATTTGCGCGAGCAGTGTGGGCATTCGTGGCCCCATTTGAGCAAGTGTTACCATGAGGATTGTGGGTGTTCAATGCCCCACTCACATAAGCGTCGCAGGCATTCATGGCCCACTCGCACAAGTACTTGTGTCCCCACTCACGTGAGCAACAGATATTCATACGAACGCATGCGTTCACCCAACATAAAACCATCCCTTTCCCCGCTCTGGGCTGCCAACCCCAAAAGGTTGGGGAATTCTGTTCTAGAAATACTGCAGAGAAGTTATGTGCAAGCTAAATCTATTAATTAAATATGTGTATAACAGAGAAATTTCAGGGTTTAAACTTATATAATTTTAAAATATACTGTATGTTCATGTGTTTTTCCTTCTTGATTTTGAATGTATGCCATATATAACACAAATTCAGAGATTTGTTGTTTGTTACTTCTTAATTAATACTTTAATGGAGTATCATTTCTGGTAATTGAGAATAGACAGTTCATAGTGGGACAGAAGTTATACACCTTTCAAATTTTTTTGCTAATAAGTATGTTCAGGCATTTTTATCTAATAACTTACGATAATTTGTTTATCCTGTTATCAAGGTATATTAAAATGCTATGATAATTTGTTTTCATAAGTGTATGGCATTTCTTTTCAAATAGAAAATAAACAGCATTGTTTAGTTTTCTATTGATCTATCTTTGTAGAACAGTCAATATTTTTATTCATTTGTACTACTGTTTCTGATGTTGGCTAACATTTGTTTTGCAAACATTGCAACTAGTTGGTAGACATGAGAACAATCCTGAGTTACCAATGAATTTGTATACATTTAATTTAGTCATGATGTCATAACATTCTGCATTTTATTATGTTAAGAATATGGATTGAATATTAGTCCTTCTGTAGTATTGGGAATACTTACTATGAAGCAAATATGATGTGATTTTAAATTTATTATTACAGTACTGCTACTGTCTCTTTCTGCAGATGTGAAATGGGGTAAATTGCGCGATTATCAAGTCAGAGGATTGAACTGGCTCATTTCTTTGTATGAAAATGGCATCAATGGTATTTTAGCAGATGAAATGGTATGCAGAAAGCTGATTTTGTTTAGAATTAAAGTGAAAATTAACATTTAACTTCAATTATTACAAGCTTGTCCAGGTTTCTTTGTGGTGAACTGTTGCCAAATTTTGAAATTGGTTATAAATTGTATAATAGCATGAAATACAAATCACAGTGAATTAATTCAAAATAGAATAAGAAAAGAATATTTTTTTGTCCAAATGTAGGATTTCTGGTTGTAGATTTTATAGTCAGGCCTATATAAATATAAAAGATAGTGATATAGTTGTAAAAAGCCTAATAGTACCAGATATATGTTCAGATTTTTTAAAAAATAAGTGATCATTCTAATAACAAATTTTGATTTAAGTGGTAGTTGGATAAGTAAAATATTTCTTATTTTAAATAATTAGTCCTGACTAGCGGTATGGAATCTAAATATTTGGGGGAAATTGTTTTTTTAGATATTTGTAAAAATAAGATCAGATATATTTTCTAAGGAATGTTATGTAATTATTTGATTGGCTTCTGTGAAGGTTTCTATTTTGAGTAGAATCATTGTCTAAGTTAGTCTTGCTTCAGGAGCCATTGACTGTAAAGACTATATGAATTGCAGAATGTTTTATTTTATGTTCTGGAGTTGTCCTGGGTTTTATGTTTTGAGCATGACATTTCAGGTTGCAGTTTTCCTACATAGTTAAAATTCTGAATATATAATATTTTTATTATAAAGGATAATATTCCAGTGATAAACAGAGTAGCATAGTTTTTAATGTTCTAACTAGAGATGGTTGTATGTTTGAAAATAGGTCTTCTGATAATAGAGAAGCTCATCCTAAGAAAATCTAACAATCCTTATAGCACTTTCAGGAAGATTTTATGATATGGGATACAAATATATATGCTTACAGGATCATACATTTTCTAAATTTAATCTATTGATACACACACACACACACACACACACACACACACATCCATACCCATGATGGATAAAAGACAACTGGATTGATTGGTGTTTAAAATTGCATTTAGTTGTTGCTGAAATCTACCCATGAGAATTTGGTGTGCATACACGCGCGCATACACACACACACACACACAAAAATTACATATGTATTTATCTTGCTTCCTGATACAAATTAACTTTTTGTATATATACATTGTTAACAGGGTCTTGGAAAGACATTGCAAACAATTTCTCTTCTTGGGTACATGAAACATTACAGGAACATTCCAGGTCCTCATATGGTATTGGTTCCCAAATCAACTTTGCATAATTGGATGAATGAGTTCAAGAGATGGGTGCCAACTCTTCGAGCAGTATGTCTGATAGGTGACAAAGACCAGCGAGTGAGTATGTTTCTACTAGTCATATATATGTTTAGGGACAATTAGCCTACTGTGGATTGGTAAGTGAAATTTCATATGGATGGTGAAGACTTACGATGCCATTAAATGAGACATCACTTGACTATGACTTGTGATTTACTGCTGGCTACTCCATTGACTCTGGTTATCAGAAATAGGTTGTGAAGTATGCAATTGGTGATCACATCTTAGACACTATGACAGTTGTAAACAACTCCTGTTTGAAAACTACCTGAATGGCAGTCAATGACTGGAGCAGTACTGTGATGGTCGTAAAGTTACATTTTATCACCATCATAACTTCAAATGATTACTTGGTGGGGAAATCACTAAATAAAGTTTAACTGTGTCCTATTCCACCAAGCAATAAACGTTATGGATTATTTTAAAGTTTCTTATCAATTATATCTCTATTTGACAAATGCATTTTTGCCAGGAGCCATGGTGGTATACTGGTTAGAACGCAGTATTGCAGGCTAACTCGGCCCACAGCCAGGCGGTCGATCCTGAGGGCTCAGGGTTGACTTAGCCTTGCATCTTTCCGAGGACAGTAAAATGACCAGATTGTTCAGGCAATATGCTGACTTTGTAAACCGTTCAGAGAGTGCTGTAAAGCATTATAGAGTGGTATAGAAGTCTTAGTTCTATTGCTATTGCTATTTTATGCAATAGCAATAAAACTAACTAACTATTTTAAACTTTGTGCACAATATTGGAAGTTAAACTAAAATCTATTTCTAACTGACATAAATGCTTTTAGATCAATATTCTCATTTTCCTAAGGTGGCTTTTGAATTTCATTTATGGTTTCTTAATTGGCACATTTTTATAATTTAATCTGGTTTATTAAATAAGGAAATATACTGTATTTTCATTGGTTTTGAGGTTCCACATGAATTAAATCAAATTGCTTTGTTGCTTTTTAAATGTGGTTAAGTCCTGTTTATAAGAAAGATGATAACTTGATATCATTTAATGATAATTAAAAAGCATATTTACATATTGTCAGATGCCAAAATAAAAATATTGAAAACATTAAGACTGCTATAGTGTCATTATTTGAAATTTTCTATTACCACAACAGTGTTCTGTCAGGTAGGAATTATTATTTAATTAAACTTTTAAAATAAAGAATATAGTTTTTTTTTTTACAGTTTCTTGATTTAATTGTTTCTAATTATTTATGCAGGAATTAGGGGAAATTTATTGCTATGTTTATTAATTTAAATTAGTTAATACTAGGACGGATATTACATATTATTTTTAAAATACACCATTTATCTTGCCATGATCTGTTGGAAAACCTGGTCAGAAGGTTGGTGCAACACAGTTTGTGAATTTCTGCATTAGCTATTAGCACAGTTACAAATTACCATGAGTTTGCTCAGTACATTAAGATTATAATATATGTAATATTGGGGAACAAGATAACAGATTTGAAATTATCAGGGTCACGGGTGGATGTATTTAATGATAACCAGCCATAAAATAAACATTCCATGGTATAATATTATTTCTTTCTTTAAAATGTTTAATTCAATATTTTCTCTGATTAAGGCTGCTTTCGTGAGAGATGTTTTGTTGCCAGGTGAATGGGATGTCTGTGTAACATCATATGAAATGCTCATTAAAGAGAAATCAGTATTCAAAAAATTTAACTGGAGATACCTAGTTATTGATGAAGCCCACAGGATTAAAAATGAAAAATCGAAGGTAATTTTAAATACCCCATTTAGGGTAAGAATTTAAATTTTGCAGATTGCTTTCCTGTCAGATGTTTATAATAATTATTTTTCTTTCAGTTGTCAGAAATTGTGAGGGAATTCAAGACTACAAATAGGTTATTGCTAACTGGAACACCATTACAGAATAACTTACACGAACTCTGGGCACTTCTTAACTTTTTATTGCCAGATGTCTTTAATTCAGCTGAGGTAATGTATGAAAATATTTGTGAAGTTTAACGGTAACAACATTAAACAAGTTTAATGGCTGAAAACATTCACAAAAGATTATATGACATTTATGTAGATGAGTTGATTGGTAAGCAGTTTGTGGTGAAGCCTCAGTGATTCTGATCAAAGTAATTATATCCCAACTGCTAATACGGTAGAAATAGGAAAATTATCCTCATTTGGAAAACTGTAATTAAAAGGGAACATAGGTACAGGTTTGTCTCTTGATTAAGAAGTATTTTCTCGGAAAGTATAAATAATTTTAAGCATCAGCAACAGTTCTGCAGGAATTTATTAATTGACTTAATAATAATACTATGGTCAATAGATTTGAATATGGCACTGTGAGCTGTTCAATATAAAATATATAAATATTTAAAATTGAAAATAAAATATTTTTTTATAAAACTGTTAAAAGTATTTGAAAAAGAAGCATTTCTAGCAAGGTAGAAATAACTATATCATTGATAGTGGTTATCTTCATAAGCATAACTATGTCATGCCCAGAGAATAATGCTGTTCGATGCTGTGTCTCTGTTTTGCAGGCTGGAAATCAGCCTTAACTTTAGTACTATTTCACTTTTTTCCCACTGATAGCTATATTTTCTTTATAAGTTGGAAATCAAATTATGGCTTTAGTAGATCTTAAAAATCATTAAGAAGGATTATTATATTATCCATAATCTGTATCAGTGTGTCATATGAAATTATAGATAATGCGAGAAGAGTGGGAATATGTTCATATATCTCATATCAAATGTTGACATCATGAATGTCAGCCAACCTGAGTTATCCTAGCAGCATTCCTATATTATTTGAACAAGAAATCAATATTGAGACATATATTTTGGTAAACTAAACTGAAGATAATAGTTAAATACTTCTGTTTGTGTTTTAACAGATGTGTGGACAAGGAATAGTACATTAAATGCTGATTTATTGGTAATGAATTATTTGATTATAAAGCATGTTTTTTAATGCAGGATTTTGATTCATGGTTCGATACAAACAACTGTCTTGGAGATCAAAAATTAGTAGAACGGCTTCATATGGTGAGTTTATTTTTAAAAAATGAACTAACTTTGGTCTATTCTTACTACATAACTCACTCTGTGCAGCATCTCTATGTATTCTACCTGGAAAATAATAAAACATGTCTCTAAACTTTGCTTGAGGTGCTGTTGGTGCAGATACTGCAACATTTTTCAATTCCATAAATAACACAAATAGTTTCGTGGTCATTGGGACTTCTAATTTCCTCTTTCTTTCTTTCTTTCCAGAAAAGTTATGTAATAGTTGAGGTTTTTTCATTTGCAAGCGTGAAGGCCTTGGAACTACAATTAGATATAGCCCAGAAAGCTTATACTTTTGAAAGAGAAATTAATCCAGTAGTATAAAATACAGTTATTTTACTGTGTGATATTATGCATTATAATTGGCAGGTACTACGGCCATTTTTGTTACGTCGTATAAAAGCTGAAGTAGAGAAAAGTTTGCCTCCAAAAAAAGAAGTTAAAATATATGTTGGTCTCAGCAAAATGCAAAGGGAATTGTAAGTAATTAAAAAAAATATATGAATAAATATAATGTCTCCATGTTTCTGATTGCTTTTTATTATTAAATATTGAAATCTTTGCATTACATTATTGCAGAATTGGTAGCCTTTGTTGTCTTTGTCTTTCAATATAGGTACACAAGAATCTTAATGAAGGATATAGATATATTGAACTCTGCTGGAAAACTGGATAAAATGAGACTATTAAACATTCTTATGCAATTACGAAAATGTTGCAATCATCCGTACCTTTTTGATGGAGCAGAACCCGGTCCACCTTATACAACAGATATGCATTTGGTTACCAATAGTGGCAAAATGGTTGTTTTGAATAAATTGTTGCCAAAATTGAAAGAGCAGGGTAACTATTTCATCTTATTGCGAAAATTATTGGATAAAAATCAAGAAAATGTTCCCAATTGCTTTCACTCTTCATAAAAATAAAGATGATATTAATTTTTGTAGAATTCTGTTTAAAAATTATCTGCTGTCATTTGCTAATTATATATTATAAATTTTGCAAGGATTTCTAATAGCTACAGTAAATTTATTCAGGGTGTATGTTGCTTTATGAGTATACTTATTTCAGTTCTTCCTAAAATTTATTTAGAAGAATTTATGTGAATAACTGAATTTTTAAAATTCTTTCATTGTGTAACAGGATCACGAGTCCTAGTTTTCAGCCAGATGACAAGAGTATTAGATATATTAGAAGATTACTGCATGTGGCGAAATTATGAGTATTGCAGACTTGATGGGCAGACATCTCATGATGAAAGACAAGTAAGCATGCAGAAACAGGAGGTTTATTTATTTGTCTTCAAAGTCAGTGTGAATTGACCAACTTTTTTTTATTGTAGGCTTCCATTAATGCATACAACGAACCTGACAGTTCAAAGTTTCTCTTTATGCTGAGCACACGGGCTGGTGGTTTGGGAATCAATCTAGCTACAGCTGATGTTGTAATTATATATGATTCTGACTGGAATCCACAAGTAGACCTTCAGGCTATGGTAAGCTTGATTAGTATGAAATGTTGTGTTTGAATCTTGACTTTTTTTTCCAGGGATATTGGACATACAACAATATGTTTGTTGTCCGCCTGGATTTTTGATAAAAACTATTACTTTAAAATAAGTAGTAATTATTACATATTATTTTTAAGTTGTGAAGATTTAGATTTCTAAAAGTTAATCAAGTGAAATGATATTTATTCACCAATTGTGCATTGCTTATAATACAAAAATGTGATTTTTATGAATTGAGTATTCCTTTTTTCCTACCACATAGGATCGTGCACATAGAATTGGTCAGACAAAGACTGTTAGAGTATTCAGATTTATTACAGACAACACTGTAGAAGAAAGAATAGTAGAAAGAGCAGAAATGAAACTTCGCTTAGATTCCATAGTTATTCAACAAGGTAAAAATATTCCATTGTTTTTAAATAACATATGTGGTCAGTAAGCTAAATATATCCAAACTTAGAAAAAATGCATCAAAATAAAAAAATGATTGCGAAGTACTGTAATGGGAAAATATACACAAAAAGTATTGTTTAGACATAAGCTTGATAGCTAAAAGATGTATCTATAATGTTGATTTAAGAATAGTTGATGTTATAATTTTAATTGTAAATAGTAATTGGAAGGATATAAAACATTTTTGTGGGAAGTTTCAAGTCTTATCCACCAGCATAAACAATTATCTGTTTTTATACATTGTTAGATGAGGAAAAATGAATGCTGTGCAAATATTCAGTAACACGTCTGTTTAATGTTGGAAACTTGTATTTAATATTTAATATGAATACTTGATCTCACATTTTCCTGGAATAGCATTACAAATTACATTTGAATAATAAAAGGTTGCTACTTAAGCAAATGTTTGTCAAATATTGCCACCGAAGTATATGTGCTTTGTATTCCACTATTGTTTTAATCACATTCCAGATTTCGGTACAGAAATAATTTTTTAAATTCTTTTTTAGCTGCAAAACACAAATTAAATATTGTAGTGTCAAAGAATTGCATGTTATGCCTGTTTTTAAAACTTTTTTGTGAAGTTATCAGCCTCTTGAGAATATTCCCTTTTATATATATATATATAGGTAGACTAGTAGATCAGAATCTGAATAAATTGGGAAAAGATGAAATGTTGCAGATGATTCGACATGGAGCTACCCATGTCTTTGCTTCAAAAGACAGTGAAATTACAGATGAAGACATTGACGGTATTTTGGAAAGAGGTGCAAAGAAAGTGAGTGGATATTGGGAACTAGTAGAAAAAGTTATGCTAATCCTCTTAATTCAGATTTTATCAGAAAACCATGTTGACTGTTGATGATGAAGCAGATTGTTACAAAACATTAATTAAAATCTGTTTATATATGTAGACTGCAGAAATGAATGAAAAACTATCCAAAATGGGTGAAAGTTCACTCAGAAACTTCACAGTGGATACAGAGTCTAGTGTGTATAATTTTGAAGGAGAAGATTATAGAGAGAAACAAAAGGTAATGCATTTATTTCTCTTACTTCAGTATGTTAACTTTACTGTCCATTTACAACTATGATGTTTCCATATAATTTTCTAAAAGTACTACATGTTGCAGATGGCATTCACAGAGTGGATCGAGCCACCTAAACGTGAAAGAAAAGCCAACTATGCTGTTGATGCTTATTTTAGGGAAGCTCTTCGTGTCAGTGAACCAAAAGCACCAAAGGTGAGTCATTGAAACTTGTTAAAAATAGAATAATTAGAAGAAAATAATTAGAAGAAAAGCTGGTATATTTATTCCTAAAATGTTTTATATATATCAGTGTTGATGAAATTTTTAGAATTTAGAATTATTTAAGGCTGTTTTTATTTTTTTAAGCAGATTTATTTGTAGTTTTATCAAAGTTGTTTCCAACTATGTTTTTCAGACAGTGATTAGGATTAGAATAGAAAAGGGTTTTCAAGATTCTTCCCTGTAGATTCAGATTCCTGTTTCTCTAAAAAAAACCAAACACCATACATCAGTTCCATTCACTGAAATGCTTATTAGAATTTTTATATGTGTATATGTGTCTGTGAATATATGCTTTGCATTTGTCATCATTTTTTGCTGTCTTTTTGTTTCAACTTACCACTACATTATTTATTTTTCCCTGTTTATTTGTTTGTTTTGTAATAATAGCAAACAGTGAAAATAAATCAAGTAGAATTGGAAATTAAACCACTCGGGGGTGTATATATATATATATATAGATAGATAGATATAGATATAGATATAGATATAGATATAGATAGATAGATAGATAGATAGATAGATAGATAGATAGATAGATAGATAGATAGATAGATAGATAGATAGATTAAAGAATTTTCTTCAAATAATTAACAGTTAAATACATCTTTGTATCTGTCAGTGGGGAGGGGGGCTAATAGCATAATATGGAAGTAGTTTGTATTTTATGCGGAAATTAAATGCTGCTTAACTTCTGTTACTGAAGTAATCATGATTACAGTGCAATGTGTCTTTTTTGAAAGGCCCCGCGACCTCCAAAACAACCTAATGTTCAGGATTTCCAATTCTTTCCTCCACGTTTGTTTGAATTGTTGGAAAAAGAAATTCTTTATTATAGAAAAACTATTGGATATAAGGTACTAGTTATCCATATTTTACTTTTTCAGTTTAAAAATTTAAAAAGTTTTTTAAATTTTACTATGTGACAATAAAACCACATGTTTTGAGTAAAGTCACTAGAGATTTATATATAAAAGTATAATGTTTTTAGAGCATATGAACTGATTATTTATAGAAATATAAATTCTTTAGGTACCTCGTAATCCTGACTTGCCAAATGCAGCTCAGACACAAAAGGAAGAACAAATTAAAATTGATGAAGCTGAACCGCTTAATGAAGAAGAACTAGATGAAAAGGAAAAGCTACTTACTCAGGTATTCCCTACCTGCTAGACAAATTATAAACTATCCTTAATTCCTTTTCTAGTAGGTACTGTGGGAAAAAAAGTGTTCTTAATGTAAAAGAATACAAAATTGAAATCCAGTTTTGTTCAGCAACTGATGACTCTGTAATTTGATGGACATTGTTTTGTCAGTAATTGCATCTTGTAAGCTTAATCAGTAAAGTCACGTTCTCTGTTGGCCCCTTTTTTCCCAGTTGTCTTCAGATTGTTCAACTGCACTGTTTTCTATATTAGCCTTTCTTTTTTTTATGAGTCAGAATAATATTGGCTTAAGATTTCCACAGACTAGTGTGGCTTTAGTTCACCTTGTATTGCATGATGCATTATTCTTGCAGTCCAAAATATTGAAACAAATTTTATTACTTTTAAATACTGTTCAATACTATTGAATAAATTCAACAAATTAATTCAGTCCCATCATTCATAGATTGCTTCTGCCAGAGCTTGCTGGATACAGTAGCATAGAAATGCCATAAACAAATATTTATTTTGTCCTTGTCTTGAGTTGAAATCCAGAAAAGAGAAAAGTATTGTTTGTGGGCATTTCCCCCCGAGAAGGTACAGTTGACATTACAGAACATTTATGTACTTGCTGTATGTACATTATTACAATGTACAAGCTTGTACATTATGTAAATGACTACAGCTTGAATGAATTTTAATGAAATTGAGGATCGTTATTCAGTCATAAATGATTTATGATTACGAGCTAGGGAGGCAAGAATTTCAGACTTCATTAGTTCTAAATTTTATCCATGTTTATGGAACATGTTTATAAATTCTTAGAAGAATCCAGTTTATCCTCAACTGGATAATGTAATTTTTCAAGCTTTAGCTTGACATGGCTCAACCCAATTGAACCAGGTCTATTAAAGAAGGACAGTATTATTAAACAACTTCTTTATTACTCTTTTTTTTTCAAGGGATTTACAAACTGGAATAAAAGAGATTTCAATCAATTCATTAAAGCTAATGAAAAATGGGGTCGTGATGACATTGAAAATATAGCTCGAGAAGTAGAAGGAAAAACTCCAGAGGAAGTCATTGAATATTCTGGTAACACCATTTTAAATTTTTAAATAATATTATATTAGATATACTCTCAGTCCAGTCTGATACAGTGTTTAGTGAGACATATGTAGTGGTTGAATCCTTAGAGTTGTGTTCATGACAACAGAAACAGATTTCTGTGCAATTCCACCTATACAAACCCTGCTAACATTTTACCAAAAAAATTCAGGAGATACTGCTGAATTTATTGGACTGAATAAAAAGGAGAAAGTGCTAAAAATTATAGGAAATATTTGATAGATGAAAGTGATGTGTATACTTGTACTTTCTGAGTATTTGCAAAAAACATACACATCGTAGACAAACAATGCTGGTTGTTTTGAAGCACTGTAAAATAATTAATGCACAGTTGAAGTTGTTTAGCAAGATCTGTTATTTAAAAGAAGTTTTATAATTTATGAAATAGATTCAATATTATGTATGTGTTTGATCCTGAATCTACGATCTGATATTTAGAACTAACATAACTTCAGAAAAGGACAAACAACATTGATAAAAGTTAAGATGTGCACAGGACAGAAGAAACAAAATACCCTGCTGGAACGTATTATTGCAATATTTTAAAGATGCTGCTTTTAAACATAACATAGTTTGAACCAGTTTTAAGTGTTGAGGTTTTGTGAAAACAAGAACCACGGTTTTTTTAAATAAAACACTGGTAACACACACACACACACACACACACACACGTATAAATGCACACAGACTCAAAACTTCCTCTTGCCTCCTTTAATTGCAGGATTGCTATAATAGGATAGCATCATGTGCTGTATGCTACTAGTAAACTATCCTCTGCATAAAAATTGGCAGGGTACATAATTTAAAATATTTTTGAAAAGTCGGTTATGGGGGTGTTTATTTCACCTTCTTGTACTACTTTCCTTAAAATTAAGTTCATTCTTTTTCCTTTGCCTTGAAAGGTGCTAATTGAAAGTAATGTGAGGAGAGATCAGTGGGCTGGCTCTCTTTGAAAAAGAGTGACAGCAGAGAACTTGCACATAGCATGTTCAGACAATTATCCCCTTAGGGGGAAGGAGCACATTTTGGGGAAAAAATGAATGTCCATTAACACAAATGATGTTTCTTTCACAATATGCTAAAGTAAATGTTTAAATTGCATACCCCGGAACCAACTTTAGCAGACAATTGGGAATACGAACTGTCTCCTTCTGTCCTATAGTTGATTTAATTTTTAACTCTATATGCTGCCATTTTCGCTCAATTCATTTCCATAGTATGTGTAAGATTACAAACAATAAAACACCCATAATAAATATAACATTAAATGTACACAGTAAACAGTAAAATAGTAGTTTACTATAAACAATAAAGCAACATTTGAAGATTATCTTGCGGATTTGCTCTTCTTGCCCCCCTTTCATTGGCTTGCTGCCAAAAATCTGCAGAAGAATATCAGTTTCTTCTGGGAGAATGAGCACGAACACTGCATGTACACAATTTAAGCCTTAACAGGCCAAGCACCATAGAACCTTTTGTGCATTTTTAAGTGCACACTGATCACTCCACAAACAAAGGAGATAAATAGAATATATAGATTACAACAATGAGTACATATGTGCAAAAGAAACTCATTTTGCTTTTTTAAAAGCTGGCATTCAACTAGCCAACTGATCCAAAGATATTCATTAATCAAAGAAAACTTGGAAAAATGATATTATGTTTATGATTTTCAAAGCTTAGTGTGGGTGTACATTCCTTATGCTCTTTTGCCTATTGATTCTGGAGATTTTAGACTGCCTTTGAAGATAAAGGCAACTGATTCAGACATCCTGAATCTCAAAATCATAGGGCCCAACACCAGGTACAGTGGATACCATACAGCCCCCATCCATCTGTTCAAGTTCAGCAGGCCAAAATATAGGCATCTTTTTCTTTTATATTCTATCTGATTTTCTTCTGAAGAACATAAAAGTATGTGAAGGCTTTAGAATTATATGTAATCCTGCAGCATTATGACCATATTATAAAGGCTTTATCTAAGTCTTTTTAATAGTATCTTCTTTTGAGCTAATTTTCACACTCTTTGTTGGAAAAGAAAGTGTGATAATCATAATCAACTCTCTTAATGGGGTAAGATGAGTCAGATGTTCCAGCAGTGGGATAACAATCAGGTACTTGAAGGACCATCCTTTTTAAAATACACACAAATCAGTTGTCACTGTTAGAGACTGTGCTTTATGACAGGCTTACAGAAGTAAATCAAAGAGGTCTCTTCAAACATCAGAAAAAGGGTTGTTGATCCCCATCAAAATAAAAAGGCTACAAATCCATTGCCAAAATTAAAGAATCCTAGGATATATAGCACAAAATCTGCAGGCCTCAATTGTATTTTTTCTTATCAGTGTTCATAAGGAAAATAACACAAAAGGACTTCTGGTTTGCGTCGCAGTGGGACGGGAAGGCAGGAAGGCAGGACTCTGCCTTCCGTGCCCTATTTTGCCCTGCTGGGGGCCCTAAAAAGGACCTAAAATCACCCTGAAGAGGCAATGAAGAGGAGGGGTGCCTTGTTGATCATGGAGAGATGATGGTCTTTCTGTTCAATCCAAGAAAAGCCCTCCAAACCGGCAGGGGAAAAACAGGCTACATTCCTGTGGCCGGCCATTAGCTGCTGACAACCGAAGAAGAAAAAAGCACCAATTAATACATTATAAACAGCATGTTTGAACTGGGTGAGAATATTGATCCTTTTTTTACTATTTTACAACTGAATTTCCTGGGAAAGGCTCCCAAGAAGCTAAATCTCCGAATGTAAACGGAAGCGGTGTTTTAATTTTATGGGAGAAAGAAACATACAACACTGAAGTGGAAGTAACAAAAACCTACAGTTTTGATAAATTTGAGAACTGAGTTAACTGTTAAGATTTTCTCTTTAAAAAAAAACATTGAGGCGAAATATAAGAAATCAATCCTTTGTTTTAAGAGTGGAAAATAGACTTTGAATGATATCTAGTGGTGAGTTTGTGTATAGCGCTATAATTTGCTTCCTAGCTGCTTGGTGATTCCTAGCTCGGGAGAACAGCTGGCAATAATTTTGACATACTTATCACCCTGACCTTGGATTATAAATACCTACTGAGCTTGGACTTTTAACTTCAAGAGCTAGTGGGAGAGAAAGAAAAATTTGACCTTGGACTATGCCTGGCTGCAAGAGACTTTTGAGCTGTTTTCAGAGAGGTTGAACATTTTGAACATTGTAGATTACAACATTGCCTGATTGACAATTTTTGGATACTTGAGACAAAGGATCACTATAAAATACTGCTTTCAGGACTGAACCTATACTTTGGAATCTATTGGATTATAAAAGATGCATATAAAGACCAGAAAACTAGAGGAAACTTTGAACTACTCTTACTGAGACTGGTGATACTAGAGGATCTCCAGGAATAATGCTCAAGAAAAAACAAATACCTTTCAGAAAGAAATATATTCTATGCTACAACTAATTCACCAAATAATTGTTGAATGCAAATAAAAAGAAATCATGAGGCTAAAAGCAATTTAGACAATATAAATGAGCAAATCTCCAAATTAAATCTACAGCTAAAAAGTTCCCAGATAATGACTACAAAGTATGAACAAATAATCCAGTAATCAGAAGACGAAACAGAGGAAATGGATTTAGAGATGGAAGAGATAAAAGAAGGAAAATATAAACAAATATATACAAACAAAATACTGCAAGACTTAGCTATTACCCCTTAGGTCTGCAAAATATATCTGATGGCAAGGAAGAAGATGTCACAACTTGGGAGACAGGGAATGAAAAGAGAAATGGAGGGAGAAAGGAACTGGGAGCTGTTTAAGGAATATAAATGGGTGGAATCCCCCCCCCCCCAAATACCTTACCTAAATTGTCTTCCTTATGCCAAGCAATTTTTACAAAAATAGAAAGAAAATTCCTGGGTGATCTAATTGCCCTGGCTTAGAAAGTTACTGGGCAAAGAAAGAAAGCGAGAATCAGATTTAAAAAGCAGAAGATTTGACCTTTTAGAGGGGGCATTATATGTTTAATACTTGTTTGAATAAGATTAAAAGAATGGATGACCCTTAGATATAATTAGATTTTTATAATGAAAGATATGATTTAGAACTAAGATAGCATTTTTTTCTTTTCTTTTTGATATGGGAAATATGAAGATAAGAGGATTGATATGAATAAAACTTTTAGTTATATAAATGTAATTAATATTGAGAAAATTATAACTGATAAAGATATTTCAAATACTGATGGGAAATCAAACCTTAACAAGAGCACGAAAAACAGGATGTTGATTAATGAATGGACATTATTGATTTATGAATTGATATTATTGTTATTTGTATGATATTAGTAAAATATGATGAGGATGCTTATATTTAATTCTGTATACATTAATAGTACCAAAAATTGTAACGGTGTAATGAGGGGAAAATGGAAAAAATATGGAGAAAAAAGAAGGATCAGGGAAAAAATACTGGATTTGTAGTATTGAACAGATTTATATTAAAGAACTTCAATGTGAAATATCTGAACCTAGACAACATGTTTACTAAGCACTAAAGACTGTAATTCTTAAAAATTAATAAAACTTTTATAAAAAGGAAAATACCACAAAAGAATGGTATGCTCAGGAAGAAGTAAGAAATCACTATTCTTCTGAACACACACTACATTCTGCATTGAGTTTGCCAAAGATTCCTGGGTGATCCAGTAGACTACCCAGCAATGTTTTCTGGTAAATTCTACAAGAGAATGTTAGAGTAAGCTTAAACAAGTGTGGCTCATGCAGCATGACAATCTTAAACTAACAGATCTACCACAAAATGGTTGAAGCAGAAGATATGTCATCTTTTGGGAAGACAAAGGCTTCCTCTTAAGCAGTTGACATGTTATGCTGACTTGATATAAGAAGGAATTATGTTAGATCTAAAGAGAAATCAAAATACAAAACTGAACAATACTTGATTTACTTTGCAAATATGTGAGACAAAACTAATAGATTACTTTCTTCAGCTGTTTTCTGGGAACGATGTAATGAGCTTCAGGACATAGAAAAGATCATGGCACAAATTGAAAGAGGTGAAGCTCGAATTCAGAGGAGAATTAGTATTAAAAAAGCACTTGACACAAAGGTAATTGCCTTTTAAGTTGTATCATGTGAAGAAAAATAGTAAAATATTAATAAGGAATGTTACTATTGGTTTTTAAATACTGTCTTTCATATTTTATTGTTATTTTTCCATATTTCATTAAGGTTCATATAGTTTGGGAACCTTTCTTTAGTACTTCTCAGTATTTCTTTGTTTCAGGTCCTACTTAGCTTAATTGTATGCCTCTAGAAATACTTTAAAGTGCTGAATTGCTGTTCCTAGTCCACTGTACATATCACCCACCCACCCTCTGCAAAAGAAGAATAGCAGCAATCATTACACATGGGAAAACGTTATAGAGTGTGGAGTAAGGGGAGTGCAACTTTTTCTGAGGCAAGGCTGGCATTCCTGAAATAAAAGGCCAGGGTAAAAATAAATGTTATTTTATAAACAGATTTAATTATAATTTAATGCAATCAATATTGTTACTATCCAGCTATGTATTATAGTCTTATTCTTCATGGAAAATTAATTTGATAGCAAATTCTAGAGGAATTTGAGAGACTATATGCAGCCGTTGAGTCCTTCTGATAGAAAATTGCAAAAACACTGATTTGATATTCTGGATTCACTTAACCAGTATGTGTTCTCTTAAAGACCATGTGATTGGCTTGACAACCATGGTGACTCACTTAACAACTGTCATAAAAACAGTTGTAAAATCAAGCCAAGTCGCAGGGTGACCTGCTTAATGACCACAACAATTTACAATCAAAATTCTGGGCTCAAATTAGTCATAAGTCAAAGACCAGATGTATTAGTTTTTTTGATCTTTTAAATACCTAATCCAATGTTCAGATTTGGAAAGAAGATCTAAATTTTTGAGAGGCTGCTTGTTATATTGAACAGATTGGAGTATTCTGAGATTGCGATATTGTTTACTGAAGGCTGATTCTGTGTGTTTTAACATACAGTACATGTATTTTATTACTTACATCCTATATTTTATTTTTTGTTTTGTATTGTTGATGTGCTAGTAAACTAATCAATCAATTATCTACAAATTAAGAGACTTTTTTTGCTTCTAGAAGTATGTACTAGCTAAATTTCCAATGAGCTTGTATTATGTATATTCTTTTACATGCCACTTTGATTTGCTTGTGTTTTTCTTAGATTGGCAGATACAAAGCACCTTTTCACCAACTGAGAATATCGTATGGTACTAACAAAGGGAAAAATTACACAGAAGAGGAAGATCGCTTTTTGATCTGTATGCTTCATAAGCTTGGATTTGATAAAGAAAATGTTTACGATGAATTGAGACAGTGTATTCGAAACTCTCCCCAGTTCAGATTTGACTGGTTCCTCAAGTCTAGAACTGCAATGGTATGTACTAGTTTTTGTTTGTTTGTTTTTTTAGAAATACAAAAGACAATAAAACCAGTTTGTGAGTAGAGAAAACTGTATTATGTGTAGATAAACCTTATTTCTGACAAGTAGTCCTTGATTTATGACCACAATTAGGACCAGAAGTTCAGACAATAAATTTATTTATTTATTTATTTATTAATTTAATTTATACCCCGCCCTTCTCCTCATGGGACTCAGGGCGGCTAACAGCCTCATAAAAACCACAATACAAATACAATGACATCTATATTAAAAACCGAATTAAAAGGAAATATTTAAATGATGTTAAGTGAGTCATCATGTGACCAGACTCAATTTTATGACCAGTTTTACTGCAGTTGTTAATTGAATCGCTGTGGTAGTTAAGTAAATCACATAGCCATTAAGTGAATTACATGGTTGTTAAACGAATCTGGCTTCATCAATTGACTTTGCTTGTTGGAAGCTAGCTGGGAAGGTCACAAAATGTGATCATGTGACTGCAAGACAGGCTATCATAACTTTAAACTATTGTTAAACAAATGATCTTAAGTCAAGAACTACCTGTATGTTCTGACCAAAAAATGTTAGACCAGTGGTAACAAGTGAAACCTGATTTATGAGGAGTAACATCTCCTTTGTTTGCACCACTTGTTATCTGGAAGTTTCCTAGTATTTATTTATTTATTTATTTATTATTTAAATTTCTACCCCGCCCTTCTCCCTGCGGACTCAGGGCGGCTTACAGCCTTTTTAAAAACAAGTACATAACTACAAAAAATACTAACGTTAAAAAGTTAATTAAAATAAAATATTATTATAAGGCCTTTATAATTTAATTAATTTTTTTTAAAAAAAATTATTATAAAACCAAGTTAAAAATAACCCTTAGGCCAGTCCTGCCAGTTTAAATAGCCATGTCTTGAGAGCGCGGCGGAAGGAGGGGAGATCCGGAATCACCCGGATCTCTGGGGGTAGTTCGTTCCATAGGGTGGGAGCTCCAACCGAGAAGGCCCTCCTCCTGGGGGTCGCCAGCCGGCACTGTCTGGCTGACGGCACCCTGAGGAGGCCCTCTCTGTGGGAGCGTATCGGCCGGTGGGGGGTAGTACAATTATAAATGCTGATTTTTACCTATAAAGGGACATGGGAGGGGGAGTGTGGTGAAGTTCTGTTGCTCTTTCTCATAGTGGGTATTTGTTTAAATTAATATGATTTATCTCCCTGGTGAATAAGCATAGTACAGCTTTTCTATATCTTATGTTATTTTTTACTTTATTGTATTTTGGAGAGGAGTTTCTGTTTTAATCTGAATTACACAGATCAGGAGTATATGTCATTCAATCAGTACTAGTTGGAGGGTCCTATCAGCCAGAATAAATGAATGAATAACAAAACCTATAGTAAAAAATAGCTGGTTGTCCACTGGACTATGGTATAAATATTATTTATACAATTACCCTCATGGGACAATTTTCTTTCACAAGTCATTGTCTAAGGAATGCTGAAAGAAATCCTAAATAAGCTTAAAATATTTTCAAATAAAGTGTTTTGGTTGCGCTGATGAAACAAACAATTGAACTGTTTGGGCACAAAGCATACAATAAATTTGGACAAGAAAGGATGACATAATGTATGAAAATAACATTTGGAACCTATTAGGCACAGGATTGACTATTCCTTTGGAGTCATATAGCAGCCTATGGCACAAGAAATATTGTGTCAGTGAAAGAAAGTATGGATTCAACTAAATATCAACATATCCTAGAAGACAATGCCCCAGCGTCTTCTGAAACAGAAGGTGATTGGCTATTTTTGTAAGCCCATGATAAGAATCATAGCAGGTAATACCTATAGAAAAGGAAGTAGTTATAGGAAACAAAAATACAGTAACAGGTGTAAGACTGATCTAGATAGTTCCCAGCTTGAATATTATTGAAAATCTCTTTGGAGATCTAAGTGCACTCAAGGATATCAAAAATGTTTCTGAGTTAGAATTTCGCAAGGAAGAGTGGAAAGAAATTCCAAAAGCATTTAAGAGCTATTCTTAGTTGGCTGTGGGAAATGGTTTTTGCATGACTGCAGTTTTTTTTATTACTTTGAATTTATAAACATTAAAAATATTATTAAGTATCCATTCATACATGCTTAATGTGTGAATGAATGTATCAGGTACAGATTGTGCTAGCTTCCACTAAAACCTAAAATTCAACTAGGAGTGTCTAAATGTCTCCATCCAATTGTACATTTGGAGCAGCATAGTAATTGTATTTTTAAAAATGCTTTTTAAGGTATGCCTTATTTAGCAACCACAATTGGGATTGGCAGCTTCGTTGTTACACAAAACAGTCACTAAGTGAAAAATCACATGACAACGTCTATGCTTTTTCCATTGTCCCTCCCTTTGGGGTGGTCATTCTGGCACTGAGATAATTAGCAAGAAGTGAATTGATTTTTGTATTTCGTTAGAGAGGAAGGCATTACAAGAGAATAGGCAGGCATATTGAAAGGAATGTGCTGCTCTATACAAATGATGATGATATCTAATTGGGTTATGAAATGTCTGCAAGCAAACAACCAAGCTCAGAGAGCTTCAAATAGTCTATTTTGTTCTTAACTATGGACATAATTCCATTCAGAGATACCGGAGATTCTATGCTTGATGTAATTGTAATCCAAAGGAGACACTGACATTTTTATTGAAGTAGTATAATGGCTACACACTTTTTCTGTTTTCGTTCTCTGCCTCATTTTCATCCCACAAAAAGAGGTTTCCCCCCATATCTCATTGTTGAATATAATGATTCCCAAGGAATGGAGCTGTAGTTCCAGATATATAGTAGATGTAAATTGTTGGAAGCTTGAAGGGCTTATTCTACAGATTTTTCCAAAGTTTGTCTTACATGAGGAAGCATCTATACAGTGGAGGTGATTAGACAGAACGTAATGTAATTGTGTGAAATTCTTTGTGTAGTGGCAATTATACCATTGAATCTCCTGTTTGCTCTTGATTCAGGAATTACAACGAAGGTGTAATACCTTAATCACATTGATTGAAAGAGAAAATATGGAATTAGAAGAAAAAGAGAAAGCAGAAAAGAAAAAACGTGGACCTAAACCTCTGGTGAGAGTACAATGTGTTTTAACTGTGAAGATTCATAGGCCATTTTCTTCAGATGAAAGAAAATGATATAAATGTTAATGTGTATGGGAAAAGATTATGAATCTATATTAGTTATAATTCCCAGTTCTTCTAATATTTTAAACTGCACACATTAAGTCTAGATTTGTAGCATTAATCATATTTTTACATTGCCTCAATGCTTCATGCTAAGTGGCATAGAATTGACCAGGATTAAGATAGCCTTTGCAATCTTTTTTTCTAGACTCCTCTTCCCATATTATTATGAAAACTGTTTTTAAATAATAATAATAATTTTGATATACAAAGAAAAACAAATTATAAAATGTTTTTAATCTCACTGTAGCTTTAGAATAATTTAAATCACGAACAAAATTCTCAGAGTTGAGACTCAATTTTTCTCTTTTCTGATACAGACACAGAAGCGTAAATTGGATGGTACTCCTGATGGAAGAGGAAGAAAAAAGAAACTAAAGCTGTGAATATTTGATTTCTTGTAATCACTAAATTTAGTTCTTTAATTTTACGGGTCTTCATAAGATGTACTTTACAATTCTCAACTATTATGTCATTAAAGGACATTGGGTTCATGTGTTTACTTGCTGAACTAGAAGAAGAGTAACGTAGTTTCACGTTTTTAAATAAAACAGCTGTGCTGAACTTTTTTTTACCATTAACACTTGAAATAAAAAATAGGCTTCATCTAGTAGTTGATGTTTTTTATATATATATATATATGTATATAGTGTTCAATTCTTTGTTTCACAAATATGCTAAATCACACTACCTACGAGTAGTTTATAGATATTGTGCTTAGGATTCCCAGACTATAAAGTTTTGAATATATCCATATTTTTCCGAAAATAAGACCTGGTCTTATTTTTTTTTTTGCCTCCAAAAGAGGCACTAGGTCTTATTTTCAGGGGATGTCTTACCTTAGGACCGCTGCAGCCAGGCTTCCCACGCCCTGACACCTGTCGTGCTGCTGCTTGACTTCTTCAGTGGCTGCTTGCCACTACTTGCATTGTTGCAGCTGCATGCGGCAGGAGACCGCATGGTGCTTTGGGCTGTTGCCGCCACTTGCGGCAGGCCATGTGGTGCTTCGGGCCAGTGGCAATGGCCCAAAGCGCTGTGTGGCATCTCGTGACGGCAATGGCGTGAAGCACCATGTGGTCTCCTGCCGTGAGCAGTGGAAACGCCCTGAAGTGCTGTGCGGCCTTCTGTTGCAAGTACCGGCACCAGCATGATGAGCCATGCAGCACTACAAATGGGGGTGTGGGAGGCCTGGCTGCAGTGGTTCTACCGGTAAGGTAACCGGGTATGGGGTGATGGGGTAGCTCCATCCTTCCACCCCCGCCCTAGCTTGATTTTTAATTGTGCGCCTTGCCCCAAAACTAGGGCTTATTTTTAGGGTAGGGCTTATATTAGGCTCACTCCCAAAAATCAAGCTAGGGCTTACTTTTGAGGTAGGTCTTACTTTGGGGAAACATGGTATGTCCTTTGCTGTTATGGAACATATATCCAGTGATAAAATAACCGTTTTTAACTGGGCAAACTAACTTATCCATGCCATTCTGTTAGTTTCACAAGATGATCTCTGCACTTTAGTTTAACTTTTGCCTTTTTAAATAGGCAGATAAAAATATCAACTATCCAGCCACCCAACATTTTTATTTTCTAGGAAAATGTCTGTGGCACACAGAAGCATCATTGGGAATATTACATTGGAGTTGGTACTTTGTATTATAGCATAGAGTCAGTATTGTTGATTTACAATGTAATTTAATCATTTTTTTTCTTTTTGGAACTACTTTCTCTTTTCACTTGCCAATTATTGTTGTATTCTGGTCAGTCATAGTAGTAATAAGCCAAGAAGCCAAAATCAAATTCCCATTTATACATCATGTTAAACTGCATTTGTAACTGGTAAGCCAAAGAAAACCATTTCAAATTAGCTTACCACACAATAAGCAGAAAAAAGGATAGCGTAATGTTTAGGTAAAAGTCTTTCCACTCAAATTTTATTTCTAGATTTCTCATAGAAAACAAGAATTAGCCTTTTTTCTTTGTTGTGTTCTTTAACCCACATAATAGGTACAGTGTGATTGCTTTCTCTGTAACCTTCATATTATACAATCCCTGAAAAAACTGTCACCTAGCAGTCCCTGGTATTGGATCAAGCTTCTGCATGTACAAATTAAACATTCAGATCCTGGACTGAACTTTTTATTTTATCCAGATTGTGGAAACCACCAACTTCAAACTTAGCTTATCAATTTACATTCTTATAATAAAGTGTAATTAGCTAATACAGTCGGGGGGGGGGAGTACATCTTTTGAGTTCTGTGGTTTTATGTATCCGGACACAGTAAAAATTATCTGGTCCTTAGCAATTCTTAAAAGTAGGTAAATACAACCTCAGATGAACAACACCTGATATTATACCACGTCATCATTTATCTTACAAAAAGAAAGCCAAACTGGAAAAGCCATGTGTGAAAAACTAAATACACACTGTTTCCATAGACATGCCAGGTGCTGCTAATCAAGTGCCCTTGATCAATTGATCATCAGCAAATGTGGCTATCTCAATAAAAGCTGAAGTTTTAGGAGTTGTTGGTCTCCAGCATTAAGGTGTGTGTTAACACAGTGTCAAAGAGGAAAGACATCGGCAATGATCTTAGAGAAGCAATTGTTGCCACCCATCAATCTGAGAAGGGTTATAAGGCCATTTCCAAACAATTTAAAGTCCATCATTCTACAGTGAGGAAGATTATTCAGAAGTGAAAAGCATTCAAGACAGTTGCCAATCTTTCCAGGAGTGGATGTCCCAGCAATTTCAACCCAAGGTCAGATGGTGCAATAGTCAGAGAAATTGCCAAAAATCTAAGTTACATCTCAGACTCTACAGGCCTCAGCATGTTAAATGTTAAATTCGTGACAGTACAATTAGAAAAAGACTGAACACGTGTGGTTTGTTTAAAGGGTTGCCAGGAGAAAGCCTCTTCTCTCTAAAAATAATATTGCAGCACAACTTAGGTTTGCAAAGTTGCATCTGAACAAATGCGAGACTTCTGGAATGCTATCCTTTTGTCAAGACCAAAGTGGAGATGTTTGGCCATAATACATAGTGCCACACTTGGCAAAAACCAAACGCAGCATATTGGCACAAACATATCTACTGTCAAACACAGTGGAGGAGGGGTAATGAATTGGGCTTGTTTTGTACCTTGCAATCATTGAATTGACCACAAATACCAAAGTATTCTAGAGTCAAATGTGAGGGCATCTGCCGACAGCTAAAGCTTGACCGACATTAAGTCATACGACAGGACAATGATCCTGAGCACACCAGCAAATCTACAACAGAATGCCTGAAAAAGAAAAGATGTTGCAACAGCCCAGTCAAAGTCCAGACCTCAACTCAATTGAAATGCTGTAGTGGGACCTCAAACGCCCACAAACCTCAATGAACTGAAGCAATGTTATAAAGAGTGGGCCAACATTCCTCCACAACTATATGAGAGACTGATAAAGTTTACGTTAAGTTATTGCCACTAAAAGTTCTATTAGGCTATTGAATCATAAGGTGTACTTAGTTTTTCACACATGGCTTCTTCATTTTGGCTTTCTTTTTGTAAAATAAATGATATGCTGTAATATGTCATGTGTTGTTCATCTGAGGTTGTATTTACCCAGTTTTAAGAATTACTAAGTATCAGATGATTTTTACTATGTCCTGATATGTATAATCATAAGAGAGTGCACTCTTTTTCACATGACTGTATATATTTTACATCAGGAAATGTTAGGAATAAAACAGGAAAAAGCTTCTATGTAAGGATAAATTTTAACATAGTAACTTTATATTTTATAATTACTTGAAAAATAAAAAACTTGTTTTGGTTCAATGAAGTGTTCTGTTTTTTTCTACAAAAAATAATAGGCATCCATTTGTACCAGCTAAATTCAAATTTTCTGTTCTCTGCCACTACCTGAATATTTTGTTAATCAGAATGCAGTCAGTAGTGTAGTTTCTGGCAAGCATATCTGACAATTCATTTCAATCAAAGGCTACTGACAACTTACAAGAGTAGCAAAAAAAAACAAAACAATTTATTTCTGGTTTATTATAGTTTACTGTAGTAAACTTATAGTAAAATTACCTCTGATTTTTGCAGATTCCAGGCTTTCAACTTTAATAACAGGATAGTTTGGTCTTCAGATTTCACACTGCGGTCATGGCATTTAGTATCTGGCCTTATGTTTAGGTCCAATACCTTAGGTAATGCAATATGACAACAAATGGAAGAGACAATGCTTGTATGAAAAAACACATTTTATAAAATGACTCTGAAAGAATATTTTGGTAAATTCACAGTCATAGGGCATGAGCAGTATAGCACAATACAGTTGAAACGTGATGTTTCTGTCCTCGACAACCTAACTTTACCTGTACTTTGAAATAAGTGAGTTAAGTATACAATTATATGCTATGACATATATTTTACATTTGAATGTAATACAAATTGCAATAATCTGTTCAGGAAGTATTTTAGTCTACATTAGGAACACTAATGAAAGAATGCTTGTATTTTAGTGGCTTTCCACCTTTCGGTTGTCAAATGAAAAATAGACTGAATGGTTATACCAATTGTCATATAATTTATAGTAAAACTTTAGAAAGAGCAATTTCACTGAACTGAGTCTTATTCCAGGTATTGTAAATAAAACTGCAGCCTTATCAGAGCACAAAGGCTCTCCTCTTATTGAGCAATGTATAAGTGCATACCATTTTTTAAAGGCTGTTTCTTTTCAAGATGTTCCTATAAGACCTTCCTTCTTTAGCATTTCAAAATAGAAGATAGGATAGGATAGGATAGGATAGGATAGGATAGGAGCTGGAAGGGACCTTGGAGGTCTTCTAGTCCAGTCCCCCACTCAAGCAGGAGAATCTATACCATCTCAGACAAGTGACCGTCCAGTCTCTTCCTAAAAACCTCCAGTCATAGAGCACCCATGATTTCTGAAGGCAAGCTGTTCCACTAGTTAATTGTCCTCACTGTTCGGAACTTTCTCTTTAATTCTAGCTTGCTTTTCTCTTTGATCAGTTTTCAACCATTGTTTCTTGTCCTGCTCTCTGGTGCTTTGGAGAATAATGTGACCCCCCTCTTCTTTGTGGCAGCCCCTCAAATACTGGAATACTGCTATCATGTCTCCCCTATTTCTTCTTTTCTTTAGACTAGCCAAACCGAAGTCCTGCAGCCGTTCTAATTTATTATGTTTTAGTCTCCAGGCTTTGAATCATCTTAGTTTGCTCTTCTCTGAACTTTTTCCAAGGTCTCAACATCTTTTTTGTAGTATGGTGACCAAAATTGGTTGCAGTATTCCAGGTGTGGTCTCACTAGGGTTTTATAAAGCGGTACTAATACTTGTGTGATCTTGATTCTATGCCTCTGACTGGTAATATAACAGTGGTAATTCTGGAAATGTGAAAGTCTACAGTTAATAAGATATTAAGCTCATGATTTTGACAGAATAAATAACCAATGATTAACCTATGATAAATTTGTTCATAATCACCCAAGTACATAAACATGATTATTGCAGCTAATTAAAATAAAACTTTGCATATTTTGACTTCCTGTAAGCAAAAGAACCCATCATTTCAATTTTACATTAAATTTTTTTAAATTTCATACATTTCTTCATAAATGAACCATTAAATTACTTTGGATTAACAAAAAAGAAGGAAGAAGAGGAGGAATCAAAACTAGCTGCTATGTCTATGCAGATAAAACGAAAATATAGCATGGTCCTGTGATGTGAGTAAACTTGAATTTAGCTGGTATAGGTGGATAAGAATATATTGCTATTGTCATTTGGAAAGGTATTAGGGCTATTCACACTGGCTTTCAAAGCCATAAATGTCAGTCTGCTTTAATGAATAGTAGAGAGCTGCTCTGCTTGTAGAATTCACTTTTCCAAATAATCTTGAAATGTGCATTGCCCTATATGAAAGAAACAGCAGCAGCAGCAGCCGGCAGATCCATTATTAATAAGTTTCTCCTATAAATCAGAAGACTTTTATGGGCTAGTGATTTTCGCCTGATTGACCAATAAACACTATGAATTAAAATATTTAAAGGAAACTAGCATACAGTATTAAAATGGATATTATAGTTTATAGATTGGTCAGTAGTATTCTGAGAATTTCTCTCTAGGCAAGGGAAGGTGGATATATTAACTAATGCACATTGATTATATCAATTAACAAGGTGAATCTTATTAAATTGCTTATAGACAAATGGTGTTCAAGCACCATTAACAGGCATTTCCTCCCAAGCATCAGAAAAAGGAAATGGTTTGTTTTAATAACACAAATGCTGTTAAAAAACAAAACCAGCTGTCCAATTAACCAAGGGTAGTTTTTAGTATATCAAAATACTTTCCACAGCATCCTCTGATTAATTAAAGCTTTGATGTCACATAGACATTTACAATGAATAAAATCTAAAACTTTCCAGACGTCTGGGGCAAAAAACTATTACATGAGAAATGTATAAATTCTGTAACCAAATTTAGTATATGTGATTAATTCCACACCAGAACCTCAGGAAATGGAGGCAATAACCTTACTTTTTCTTATTTTGGAATTATACCGATTCTATCAATCTGACATGGAAAATTGCTTCAGAACTGAAGCCAATTCTGTCTAGTTCATAATTAAAGTTGAAATAAAAAGGGGTTATCAGCTTTGAAAACGTAAAGCATGTGGCACTATTTTATTCAGGTAATAGCAAAGTGCCATCCTGATTCTCCTGAAACAATATTGAGCAGTCCTTTCCCAGAATGATTTATTTTCAAAATAACATGGTAATAATTGTCACATTATTTTTTTAAATGGCTGCATTTGTTGACACAAAATTTACTATGATCGCTTAGCTAAGTAGCAGTTGTTTTTAAAAACAGAACACTGAAAAGAAATCTCCAGGCAGTTAAGATCATGTAAGTTATTCACAATGTTTTACAATATTTTCAAAGTTCCATTAGGAGAGAGCTATTTGAACTAACATAAATAAAATACTGCAAGCTGCAAGCAATTGGAATAAGAATCTAATAATGATTTAGCTTTACGATATTTATCGTACGTAAGTACAGAACATTGCAGGATATTATATGAAAGACTATTTGTAATACTTGTATATCAAAACATTCAAGAAACATTCTCTTTAAATAAGTTCAGTATTTTTCTAATATAGTATTTTGCTTATCAATACAGATAATACAATTCTATTGAAATTTAATTATAGATATTTGCTTGTATCCTATTTAGTTAAAAGTTTGCCTTTTTTCTTAACCTTCCTCTCACCCTGTCATATAAAAATGGTATAAATCTAAACACTATACAAAATGAAAAGGAAATCCATATCCCTTTGAATAGCACCAGGCTTTCATGTTGATAGATAAGGCACACTTATATCTGCTAACAGATTTTTTTTAAAGCACCATTTCAGGGGAAAATGTTAAATTTAATTAACATTGTATTCCAGGAGATCATCCTGTGTTCCTGGGAGTTGGTGGTGCTGGAAGTTATAAATAAGTCACATTTCTATACAGATTATTCTTGCTATACTTTTCTTCCAAATGCTGAAATCTCACTCAACATAGTACCAAAACTGCAGCAGCCTAATTCCATATCTACCCCACCCCACCACAGCTCCATGTGATTTCCACTGTGTAGGATCTTCAAAGAGCGATCAATGTTGTTAAACTTCAGAGCTGTCACTATTGCTCTGCTGTGTAGTCATAGTTTCATTACTGTTGGAATGATTGGTAAATGAGCTTGTTTTTCCATCAGTTGAATGTCCTTTTCGCTTCAGAAGTAATATAATGATTATAACAGTGCAGAGAAGAAGCAACAGTCCAATTGCACCTCCAATAATGGGAACTATCTTGTCTTCTGCATTGCTTCCTGTAATTTGCAGGATTGGCTTTTCATAAGGTTTACCTGCTGGAGACCATTCTTTTTGCTTGAGTATAATTTTATTAGATCGGTCAAGAACTATATGCTGGATATTTGTTCCTCTATTCTTATCAGCACCAATATCTTGGGCGAGAGCAGGAATATCAGAAATAGCTCTCCGAGATCGACTAAGATGTGAGCTACTGTTATTGCAAGATAAAGCATGGTGATCTTCAATACTTCTTTTTCCAAGGCCCCTATGAGCATTTTCACGTGATCGAACCATGTAGATGGTGTGGATGTACCACTCTCGACCCACTGCTACCTATTAGGTTAAAAAAAAAAGATGAAATAAAAGAATAGAAAACCAAGCAAAATGAAAAAGACCGTGAGACTCCAGTAGCAGTTGCACACCTAACCTGCATGTAGGTGTTTTATCCAATAAAATATCCTCATCCAAATTACCTGGAATAATGGAGTTGACAGCAGGCTGAATCCATCAGAACCAGGTTGCTTTACCAAAGGATAGCCATCAATGTGATCAACTGCTAGTTTGGCATGGAATGCCATATTTCCAAACATTTTTGCTTGTGTATCTGGTTGAGCTTTATCCTAGGGAATAAAGAAATAGTTGTATATTGTTAAATTTAAACTTAAAAATGACATTTAGGAGAATTTATTAGTCTAGCATTAGCATACCTACCAGGATTTTGAATCTGTACAATAGGGAAGGTGAGTCAGCTAGACAGCCATATTCTTTGTTACTTGGACTATACTTGGGAACATACCCATCGGCCCCTGTACATAAGAACACCTTCTCAATGTTACAGATGAAAGACTCCCCTAAATTCTGAACAGGATCCACCAGGACACGACCGTAGATTTCTGAACCTAAAATTAAATAAACAGATCAAAACCAAAACTGGCTCAAAAAGCCCTTGGATGTAATTCCCCAAGATCTCAAATTCAATAAACAAGTAATAATTTTTCATGTGACAGAAAAGTAAAATTAACCGAGTAAGATAATCACATTAACCATAATTTGAATTAACTTTAAATATTTAAAAAAATCAAATTTATTTTTTTACTCCAGATCAGTTTACGACTTTGAAAAAGTGGCACTGGGCATGCCATTCAAGGAAGAAATATGATCTCCTAGCCTGCAAGATATTACACAGACTGGTATATGCAGTAAATCCAAATCCAGTATTCTCAGATGTAATCCTGTTCTTTGAGTAGCTAACAAATTGTTAATCAATACAATCTATAATGCAAGAATTATTAACGGTAAACTTTAAAAAGTTTATATAATATTATATAAATTAAATATATATAATATAAATTAAATGAATGTATAACAAATGAAATAAGTCACAATTTGCATTTAAACTACAAACTTCTGAAATTTATGAACAAAAATGCTTTTGCTTGGCATATATTCATATTGTCAACACAGCACGCTATCACTCTGAGAAGACATGCTAGGCCCAGGAAACCAGCATAGGAAATTATTTGCCATGTATCACTGCTGATTGTACAGCACTTAAGAGAAGAAAAAGCATGATATTCTGGTTAAACTAGATTTCTTCTATACATTTTTTAAAATGTTTTTTTATACTGGCATGTTTTAACAATTCTGTTTATTCTATCCCTCAACAATGGTTGGGTAGTATTATTTCATAATTCTATATAAATACTACCCTTACTTTGAGCTATTAAAATAAATGCTTTATATTGCTCCTAGATAGGGGTCCCCAACCCCTGGTCCGTGGACTGGTACTAGGCTGCAGCATGCCAGCAACTGGTCCGCACAAAAAAGCAAAGCCCCATCCACGGGATGCCGGCAGCACACAAAACCACGCACTCTCCAGTCCGCGGAAAAACCTCTCTCCACGGAACCAGTCCCTGCTGCCCAAAAGGTTGAGGACCTCTGTCCTAGATGCTTAGTTCTGCATTTAGTTGCTCTATCGAAAATTCCTGCAATTCTATTTTTCTTCACTAGGGGTCAGCCTTTATTCAGGATACAAGTAAAAATAATTTATATGATGTTACACTAGTGATTTAGTATATCTTTTGGTCATCCCAGTTACAATTTGAGTAAGGCATTTATTCAGTATAAAAACAGGAATTCGGCTTCCTAAGGAAAATTTATTTTTGCAGAGTCACATTATACGATGCATTTTAATTTTCAGAAAGAAGCACTTCAAATACAAAGATGATTGCTGATTTGGACCACTGTAATTTTAACTAAGTTTTTAAATTCATGGTGCAAGTGGACCAATAACAAATATTGGAATATAAGAGGACAGAATTACTCAGAGCATTATCCCATGCAAATGAACACACTGCAGTTAAAAAATTTGACAAGTGTGGCTAGAATGGTTCATTGGTCTACTCAGTTGTATGTTAAAGCAGATTTTACCCTCTGTGAATGAGACATCAGTTTCTTCTCCAAATCCCAGAGAGCCATCAGACAACCAAAGATCTTTCTTGGATAGCAGAAACATTTGAGTATTGAGATTAAATTCAGCAGCTACTGGGTCACTGACCTGTATAAAGCAAAGACTAGTTAGGGAAGTGATTTAATCGTCTTTCTAGCAAAAATCTAGCATAATTTAATTGCAGTTTATTCTCAAGATTATTAGAAATACTCAGAAGAGTCCAACAAAGTAGAACTAAACAGTAGAGTGTGGTCCATGATTTGTATTTATAAATAATTGCTTCAAGGACTAGGTGCTTCATATAGTGCCATTGTTTTATATAAGCATGCCACCTTGAATTCCTTCTCACAGTCTTTCAGGAATAAAATCTATAAATCTAGGCTGACTCAATCAAACAATCACTTAAAGGAAATAACATAGAATTGGTTGGAATGAGGCAGTATCCAAGTTAATTGATTAATTGAATGAATATTATTTTTTTATGGAAAGAAACAGCAATCTTAAGTAGGTTTCCTCCCATTGAAAAAACCCAAATCCAACTTAAAATAAACTGATGTCAGGTAATATTCAATCCTGCTGAAAACAATTCCTGTAATACAGTTTAATACAACTTAATGGCATCCAGATCTGTTGGGCCCTATAATTCTTTTATTGGAAGGCATAATCTTAAAACCACTGATTTTTTATTTTTTCTATAGCATAGCTATAGAAGGGTGTTCTAAGACAATTCTCCTGCACTAAGATGGCTTCTAATAACCCATTATAAGACAATTATACAGAAAAGATTGCATAGAGGGATATCGTATATTGCATAGAAAAGATATCCTAGAGGAATGCACATGTGAGACAACATTTATATGACTAAATGTTATTAGAAGAAAGGAAATTGTTTGGTATATTGATGTTATTTTCACCCAAACGTCCTAAATCAGAGAAATTTATAGGTACACTCAGTGTTTACTGTAATAGTATAATCTCTACTTAGAGGCAATGTAAGCTCTAGGACACACTGACAGTCTTCAGATATACTGGGGTTCTAGTTCTCAGAATTCTAAAAGTTAACCCTAATGCCACTTCAGGTTGTGAGGTTGAGAAAAACCACTAAAAATGACCAGGTTTTGATTTGGAGAGAGTGCAAAAAGAAAGTGTGTTTTTAGAATTTTAAATATTCAGGGCCCGGTTTTCTAAGTCAGTTTAAAACAACAAACATGTAAAACTAATTCACTGCAATCAAACCAATGTAATTATCAAGTAATATTTCAGAGAAAAGCTTTATTAGTTGAGAGCATTAAAGTTCTGAAATATTTTACCTGCTGGAACCTGATATCTAAATCAAAAGTGATTGGCTCCCGTGGGCTGCAGATGACAGGCTGGGTATATTCTTGGCTGGGTGTGGCAACACAGGGGATAAGTTTCACAGTATAAGTGCCAGAATAGTCACGTACCTGGAAAAAGACACCCAAAGTAAAATATGAATTGATACAAATCAACTAAGAATAAGAAATCTTTAGAAGGGTATCCTGGTGCAGAATGCAGCGGCACAGGCAGTTATGTATACTTTTAGATCAGCACATATCACACTCTGTGAGCTGAATTGGTTGTCAGTTTACTTCTGGGTCCAACTGAAGGTGCTACGTTTAACCTTTAAAACCCTTCATGGCATGAGATCAGATTATCCGAAGGAGTGCTTTGCCCCAATCACATCATCCCATACCATTAGATCTGGTAGAGAGAGCATGCTTCGGGCCTAATTGGCTCAGGACTTAAATTTGGCGGCCCAAATTTGTTAAGAGGCAGCCCTTCTCTGTCATGGTGTCCACCTTGTGAAAAATTATTTCCCCCAAAATGAGGTTAGCTCCATCTCTGTTAATGTTCTGTAAATCCATCCAGACCTGGCTATGTCATCAAGCCTGGGAGTCCCAGGAGACCAGTGATATTCAGAGATGGCTTCATCATTGTGATTGATTTATTCTCTCTTGTACCTGGTGATCTGTATATTTTAATATGTCTGTTTTATATTTTTAATAAATATTATTTTAATATATTTATTTTATTTAATTGGTGTACATCACACAAGGTCACTTCCTATGACATGGATGGCTATATAAATGTTATTTATAAACAAACAAATAATGGTTATGTGTATCAGTGGAATATTTAGCATACGGCTTTTTTTGTGTGTGTCTTTTTACTATACTTACACAAAATCATTGGGATTCTGAACCTACAGCATGGACAAAATCCGCATCAGTAGATGTCTAATTGATTCTGATATACCCATAACATGCTCTTCTTTTCTGACAAACCTTAACAGTCATATAACACTCTACAGAAATAACACTATAGGAAGGATGTGTACATCAAGATTAATATGCATATTAGTGATACCATATATGGTTTTAAGACACAAAACTGACTCATATGCTTGTATTCTTACTGAATATGCATGTAAAATATCTGCTCCTGAGCCATCAAAAATCTATTTTCTAGTCATACATTAAGCCACAGTTTGTTCACCTGTGATTATTTATAGCACACTAAAATTATTTTGAAAAGTAGGTTAGTATGAACCTAATCTAAATCTCAGTGTCATTTACTTGTGAGTATAAATGAGTTAAATATTGGCCCTTTTTTAAAAACACTGAAGACTACCACAAAATAGTACTCACAGCAAAATCGGAAAGAAATTTCCATTGCTGCATTGGCTGATTGAAGGTTTGCTCACTTTGAGAAAGGGTCAATGTGAATGTAAGGCCAGGATGATCAGATGACATCACCATAGAAGTCAGAGAAGTACCTGCAAAAGTGAAGGACATGTTTTATGATGAAGTTCATTGATGTTATCCACACACTATAAGTCACAGATGCTGGGATCAAGAACGTATTTTTAATATGTGGAATGTGAAGTTGATGGAATGGAACTGCCTTTTCTCTTTCAATTTAGGAAATCAAAGAATCAGGAGATAAGGAGATGCACTAGTGGGTAGTGTAGACTCAGGAAATACTGTGTTTTGAAGACAGAAGGGAATTGGCAAAACCATCCTTTTCTCTTCTGCCTATGGAATCCAAAGCTTTTCATGAATAGATGATGAAACCCAGTTCAGATTATAAGTTCCTTACTGTTTATGAGATTCACATTAAATCCCAAAGTCTGTTGTCATAATCCTACAAAGTGATTTTTAGCTTAGAAAAGATCTGAACATAACAAAGTGCTGCTGGCCTTACCTGGATGGGATATTATGAACTGTCCCCTGAATCGAATTTCAGTCCTGAAATGGACCACCAATCGCCCTTCATCATTCATTTGCATACTGGTTGGGTAAAGAGACCCTAGATGTAAGCAGCCATTATATTATTTTAGAAATAATAATAAAAAGTCTAATTGTTTAGTAGCGTTAAAATGTATTGGATTGCAAGTACCACAAGACTTAGTCAGCATTGTGTGGATTAAGGAGTCAAAATCATTAGTATCATAAAATAAAACAATAAATATGAAAATAGAGTAACATAAATAATACAAATTTTATTTTAAAAAGTAGTTTGGCTTTGAAGTAGCTGTCACTGTGCAAATGGCTAGATAAACAAGGACATCCTCAGTTGTTTATCGCAGTCTAGCATAGAAACCGGCTATCCTTTTCTTGTGAAGTTCCATATAGCCATGAACGGCTAATTTTGTCCACGAGGCTGAGTTTACACATCCTGTAGTAGCCAGTTCTCCAGACTAATCTCTTATGGTAAAAAGGTTATGGGCAAGAAAAAACAGAAAATATTTATAATTTACCTTGCAGTTCTGCTTCTGGTGGACTTCCAATGCCATCTTTCCACAGAATGGCAGTATCATACACAAAGGTGAGCCTCAACTCAGATTGCAGGTCAAAATGTTGCCAGCCCCCAACTGCTGCAGGTGAATGGAAGACATAGGATACATAGAGGGGCACTCGAAGAGTGACATATGATTGAACCAGATTCAACACCTGAAAAATAGCATCACATTAGATCACCCTATGTCCATACTGGATCTTCAGGAGTTAAATCACAGCTCTTTTGAACACAGTATAAAATCTCATCCTCATACCTTCCTTTTGGGTTGGCATATATTTTGGTCCCTTGTTTATTTATTTTGTGATATGTGTTGGCTCCAGAACAAACATTTCTTGATGTACTTAGAAATTTACTTTGATGCTTTAAAAATGAATTTACAGTTTATGGGAAAGTGTGAAAGAATGAAATGTAGGTCAAAACTTAAGCAGGCAGCCCTCTACCTGGCTTCTGAAACACAACCCTGGCAAAGAACAAAACCCATTTTAAAATCAACTTGACAGTCATCCCAGAATGTGTGGCAATCTGAGATTACAATCAAGTCCCTATTATAGGATTAAGTTGATACTAAGAATCTCACATTCATCTCTTACCTCCGGTGAATTGCAGTCCAACTTTTCAAAAGTGAACTTGCTCTTATTCAAAGTATAGCTTCTGATTATTAAAGATAAGCATCGTCACCACCAATTTCCTTTCCAGCTTTTAGAACTGATAGCAAATCAGATGAAGAATAAGAAATGAACTAATCAAAGCCTATATTCTAAGAAGTAAATAAAACTCCAGATAAAAAGAATAACTGGCACCTAACACTCAAAATAATCCTCAGGATTTCAAGCAGTTGAGAATATTTTTAAAACACAAAGCAAATCTGAATGTAACCATCCATCAGTAATAGCTTATAATAATATAACTTTGATTAGGAGATGATACACAAGTTAAATTCTCCCTCTTTTTTTCATGCAAACATACTTGAATGTGTACTTTACAAAATAGTTCCATTTTCTTTTCTGATGTAGTCCCATCCTATCTAATGTGGCTTCACGTTTTCCCATAAATAGGAACTATGTCTATCTCTGTATGGTTACTACATGTCAAGTAAATGATTCAGTTTCTATATTAGCATTCAGTAAGAAATTTCACCGTAAAGTATATATTTGTGTGTTACTCATGCCATGTAACATTTCCTACATATAACAGATGGAAGGCATGCATATGTTCCTAACTTTAATGTCTTTGTAGCCTCTCTGGGAAGCCTAATATGCAATATATCAGTGTTTACAGCTACATGTATACATATAAACACTACTGTATCTCATTTTTACAGGTTCAAATTATATGAAGATGTCAGCTTCCTACCTTTTGTCCTTGACATGCTCCCTTTGGCTTTCATTTAGCTAAATTCCAATCTGGCTCTCTTTACCACCATTCTTTTTGTTTCTACCCTACCTAGGACTCTAGCTCTATGTTGCTTTATTTATTTATTTATTCAGGCTTAGAACCACAAACAGGATCTCTCATTAACTAATGAGATACCACCTTACTTCCTTCCCACATGCATAGACATCATTATATGAGCCAGTGGTGCAGTGATTAGATCGCAGTAATGCAGGCTACTTCTGCTGACTGCTGGCTGCTAACAGTTCAGCAGTTCGATTCTCACCGGCTCAAGGTTGACTCAGCCTTCCATCCTTCCGAGGTTGGTAAAGTGAGGAACCAGATTGTTGGGGGCAATATGCTGATTCTGTAAATGGCTTAGAGAGGGCTGTAAAGCACTGTGAAGCGGTGTATAAGTCTAAGTACTATTGCTATCATGATCATCATCATCTCTGCCATCTCTGCTAGCTGTCTTAAAATATACGTATACTGTCTTACAAAATCTTTAAGACAACTGGAAGAGTCACATTTAAAATATACCGGTATATGTTATTTGGCCAATGTCAAGATCTAAAATAAACATGTCAGGTATTGAATGGATTTTCAGGTAATTCATCTCAAATATCAATCCTAACTACAAAGGGGATGGCTGGCTCTTCCCTGTTCGAACTGAATAGAATAGCTGGGGTAGCAGAAATGTTTAGGCTAGCTAGCATCCTTCCTTAAGGAAGGCACTGTTTCTCCCATAACAGTTGAATTAGGGCTAATTGAAACTATTTGATTTGCCCCAAACCATGAATTTATGCTTTTAAATTAGGGCAGAATAGTGTTTAATTAAATGAATTAAATTAAATTAATTAAAAGTAATTTGAAAGTAAAGCAAATTTGTTTTAGTTCTTTGTCCTAGTCCTATCCATTTTTCTGAAGCATGGTCTTAGTCATTGTCCCTACCTTCTGCAAAAAGCAGTTTTACTTAGAACAGCTTACATCCTGGGACAATATCTTTAATAGTAATAAAGAGCAACATCTGTCTATTCCAGGTCCTTGAAAAGGAAGCAGTAGGTGGGAAAAAATCCCTGACTGTGCCACCTATCATAATACCTGAACATGAAGATCCTATAAGGACGCCTCCTTTTTAGTTTCACACTACACCTATAACATAGATATTAAATTATAGCACCATGTTTTGGATTTTTTAATAAAATTATTTGTGTTTGGAACATAGTCTTCTGCTTTTTACTATCATTGAATTTTGTCCTTCCTTTAGTTAGCTCTGCCAAGACATTTGAAGAAGAAAAAACCACTGCTGATTTTAAAGCAAGAGACAATGTTATTTCCTCTCATTAAGTTGGATGTCACTTATCAGTAATAAATTGATATTATCAGGTTTTAAGCTCAAATGAGTTCTGCCACCATGAATTAACTAAAACAGTTTTTTCTCTCTTTTAGAATGGCCTGTCCATTTGGCGCATATTAATACACTATTGGCTCATCAGGCACACACTGAAATATGTAAGTTCTTATTTGGCTGCCTTTAAGTTGCCCTAATTAATGAACCACAAATATTAATTACTATCTTTGTCAGTAAACTCATCCAATCATTTTACATATGCTCACACTGAGTATATTAGGATCATGTTCAGTCTTTGAGAGTTAGCACACAAAAGAAACATGTGTATGATGGCAGTTTTTTCTTTGCCTATGTATGGAAGTCCCATGGTTTTTAAATTAATGGCGCTTAGGAAATCTGGCCTGTATAATTTTATTTTCAGACTGTCTGTTATACTCTTGTTAGACATTAAGCTGTCTGCCAAATTTTCCTCCAGTCTTAGGAGACACATTTCTCACTTCTAAATTCATTCTGTTTTGATTATACATTATGTATTCATTCAGTATTTATTATATCTCTTAAAAAGTGGCAATCTGTTTGAAACTCCAAATAACTAACTTGTTTGCAAGAGCATCCTTTATAATGTGCCATCAGCAAGGCTTTTTTTGTGCCATCCAGATTGATTTTCTAATTGAATTGATCTGCTATGGGCATTAAACACAATATTGTTCCTTGGCTTTGTTTTACACAATACATAGATTCTGCCATTATGTTGGATAAACTAACTTTATTGCTTTGTTTATATATGAATCAGGAACTAATGGAGTCTTCAACAAACTATAAGAAATTATTGAGTTCAACTACATTATTGGTCCATCTGCCACAAATCTACTTTTCTGAATAGCAGCTATACTCCATGTAAAGAATAGAAATTTCCCTCAAAAGGGTTAGAAAAAAGGTGCTATGAAAGCTTCGCTGTAGACAGAGTGAATTAAAATATACAATGGAACCTCGTTATTCATTGTTAATTGGTTTTGGGAGATACGAAAAGTACTAAAAATGACGAGTATCAAACAAACCACATGATTTATCACATGATCCTTTGTTTTGGCTGGGAAGAACTTCCTGTTTGTTCCTTTTCTTATGTCAGTGATCTTCCCAGCCTAGCCGATTTCCTGTCTGCCCTCTCCAGCTGTCCCATGCTTCCTTTTGCAGTGACCTTCCTGACATGGCCAACTTCCTGTCTGTTCTCCACAGCTCTACCCCTCTTCCTATGGCAGCGAGTCAAAACAAAAAAAATGACAAGTACCAGAACATTTTCACGTCAAAATGCATTGAATACCGAATTCAATGAGTTTTGAAACAGTCAAGTACCAAGGTACCACTGTCTATTCTGATTCTGTATATTATTGTTTTAAATGAAGGAAGAATCTGTTCTGATTTTTTTCTGACTTGAAGTGCATACAACTAAGCAAAATCCTTGCATTAATAGAAATGTGCTTTTCTTCAATAGAGCCTACCTGACCATCTGTCCCAATGGAGCCGCTACAGTCAGTTACCAGTTCTGACATATCATAATAACTGATAAATTCCCACAGGCAGGCCTCCTGGTTGAGATTACGATAGAAACGTAAAGTCTTAGATGATCGTATGCTACCACTGTATTGATAGGGTGAAGTTTCTCCAATCACTTCTGGGTTCTTGATATCATCTGTGATGAAGCCATGTTTTGTTTCAATTTCATTATAATCCAAGAGATTGGAGCATTTGTGATTGCCTACACGAGTGCCATCTGGACTCAATGTCAACTCAAAGTTGGACAAAGGTTTGGTTGAGATTACTGGCAACATTCCTGAAATCAAAATTGCCTATTAGATATTTTATGCACTAATAATAAAAGTAGCTGGGTGATTACATTACATCAAAGAATATGTAAGATTCAGATAAGTTTTACAACAGTAATTCAACTTTCAAAGCAGGGTTAAGAAAAATGTTTGTGCTTAGTTGCCTAAGGACATCTAAATCTTTTGTAGGTGAAGTATAATTATTTATGGAACTAAATACACTGAAGTAATACCATGTTTCCCTGAAAATAAGACCCACCCAGAAAATAAGCCCTAACCTGATTTTTTAGGGTGCGCCTAATATAAGCCATCCCCCCAAAATAAGCCTGGGGTAGGTGGGCATGGCCAGCACACAAGGCAGCTAGCGAGCGGGGACCGATTGTGTCTGGCAGCAGACACAGCCCGTGCAGGACAGGTAAGTCCAAGCGCGGAGGCAGAGGTGGGGGGAAGATGATCCAGATGCACTGTGCGGCCATCTGGCTCACGGGAGGTTCGTGTGGCAGTGTTTATTTGTGCATGTTTAAATTAAAAAAACAGCAATTTGAAATTTCACACCCATACATTGGAACAATGCAATGTGATATGGGAAATAACTACTGTGTTTTCCCCAAAATAAAACCCAATCTTATAAAAAAAAATTGCACGAAAAGAGATATGTTTGTATGTGTGTAAAATACTGTACAGCTAGGGAAAAATTATTTGATCCCCTGCTGATTTTGTACATTTGCCCACTGACAAAGAAATGATCAGTCTATAATTTTAATGGTAGGTATATTTTAACAGTGAGAGACAGAATAACAATAAAAAAATCCAGAAAAACGCAGTTCAAAAAAGTTATAAATCGATTTGCATTTTAATGAGTGTTATTTGATCCACTATCAATCATCAAGATTTCTGGCTCCCAGGTATCTTTTATACAGGTAACGAGTGGAGATTAGAAGCACTTTCTTAAAGGGAGTGCTCCTAATCTCAGCTTGTATAAAATACACCTATCCACAGAAACAATCAATCAATCAGATTACAAACTCTCCACCATAGCCAAGACCAAAGAGCTGTCCAAGGATGTCAGGGATAAGATTGTAGGCCTACACAAGGCTGGAATGAGCTATAAGACTATCACCAAGCAGCTTGGTGAGAAGGCGACAAGAGTTGGTGTGATTATTTGCAAATGGAAGAAACACAAAATAACTGTTAATCTGCCTCGGTCTGGGGTTCCATGTAACATCTCTCTTTGTGGAATTTCAATGATCATGAGAACAGTGAGGAATCAGCCGAGAACTACATGGGAAGATCTTGTCAATGATCTCAAGGCAGCTGGGACCATAGTCATCAAGAAAACAATTGGTAACACACTACGCCATGAAGGACTGAAATCCTGCAGTGCCTGCAAGGTCCCCCTGCTCAAGAAAGCACATGTACAGGCCTGTCTGAAGTTTGCCAATGAACATCTGAATGATTCAGAGGAGAACTGGGTGAAAGTGTTGTGGTCAGATGAGACCAAAATTGAGTTCTTTAGCATCAACTCAACCCGCCATGTTTGGAGGAGGAGGAATGCTGCCTGTGACCCCAAGAACACCATCCCCACCATCAAACATGGACATAGAAACATTATGCTTTGGGGACAGGACAACTTCACCACATCAAAGGGACGATGGACGGGGCCATGTACCGTCAAATCTTGGATGAGAACCTCCTTCCCTCAGCCAGGGCACTGAAAATGGGTTGTGGATGGGTATTCCAGCATGACAATGACCCAAAACACATGGCCAAGGCAACAAAGGAGTGGCTCAAGAAGAAGCACATTAAGGTCATGGAGTGGCCTAGCCAGTCTCCAGACCTTAATCCCATAGAAAACCTGTGGAGAGGGCTGAAGGTTCAAGCTACCAAACGTCAGCCTTGAAACCTTAATAACTTGGAGAGGATCTGCAAAGAGGAGTGGGACAAAATCCTTCCTGAGATGTGTGCAAACCTGGTGGCCAACTACAAGAAACGTCTGACCTCTGTGATTGCCAATAAGGGTTTTGCCACCAAGTACTAAGTCATTTTTTGCAAAGGGGTCAAATACTTATTTCACTCATTAAAATGCAAATCAACTTATAACTTTTTTGAAATGCATTTTTCTGGATTTTTGTGTTGTTATTCTGTCTCTCACTGTTAAAATAAACCTACCGTTAAAATTATAGACTGATCATTTCTTTGTCAGTGGGCAAATGTACAAAATCAGCAGGGGATCAAATACTTCCCCCGCACTGTATATGAATATATTGCATGAATCCTCAAGTCTAAGCATTAGGTGAAACATTATCTAGAATAAAAAATAAATAATTTTTAAGTGTATGAATTTGTTCTAAACTGAATTCGTGGTCCTATTCCCAAAACCACTCTTGCTTACTACAAGCTTTCTTCATTTTAGCACTAAATCTAACAGATTTTCTCTATCTTATGTTTAAGCATTAATATAACATTCCTTCTTTGTTAAGCACGTTACGCATGAACAAAGATGAGGATAAACATTAAAAGTTGTCTTTGAATTATTGTTTCAAAAATCTCCTTGTGATGACAATTGGTGCTGCACCATTTCAACTGTTCTGGTTCTAGTGGCACATATGCCCGGTACTTACCATCTATATGAGGCATGGTAACCGAAAACCTGATCAGGTTTGGATAGTCAGGATCATCAGGACCCATGTAATGAATTTTGGCTGAGAAAGGCTCTGCTCCAACTGTACCCAGAATACGTGGTTGGCACAGACCTATTGGAAAACAGCAATGCTTATTGATTGATTTAAATCAAGCCACACCTCTCATTAATGTGACTCTGGGAAGCTTATACAATTATGAAAAATAAGTACAGGTAATCTTTGACTTATAACCACAATTGAGCCCCATTTCCATTGATAAGCAAGGCAGTTGTTAAGTGAATTTTGCCCCATTTTATGATCTTTCTTGCCACAATTGTTACGTGAAATCACTGCAATTGTTAAATCGGTAACATAGTTGTTAAGTGAATCTGTCTTCCCCATTGATTTTGCTTATCAGAAGGTCACAAAAGCTGATCATTTGATCCTGGGACACTACAATTGTCATAAATATGAGCCAGTGTCCAAATTTTGATCACATGACCACATGATGCGTAAATGGTCATAAGTCACTTTTTTCAGGGATGCTGTAACTTTGAATGGTCACTAAATAAAAAATTGTAAATTGAGGACTACCTGTATTATCTTAATATAGTTTTATTTAGAAGAATTGATTTACAACAAAGCTCATTCTTTAATAGTAAATGCTGATAAATGCCTGACATGGAATTCTATAAGTCTAAATGCCCTCTCTAAGTGTCATTAAGTTACTAACATAATCTCCAATATCAGGCAGCTCACATCGACAATACACATATCACAAATACGTGTAAATGACATAGATTTGAAAATCCTGTCACAATAGTTTCCCTCACAGACAAATTGTAGGAAGTATGAGATTACATACAGACTTAGAGCAACACTGATCCTTTGATACTATGCAAGCTAACTTTATATTTTCTTTATATGTGTGGAAACCAAAATGTTATAAGCTTGTTTTCAAATGACATAAATGCAGAGGAATAGCCCTAGTCATAAAGCTAGTATCTCTATTTTTTACTGGCCAAGTTCCACAGGTTCTTAAAGATATTAATTTCAAATTATTATTTTTTAAAAAAAATAAAATTATACTTAGTACAATAAATATATTGAAGTGCAAAGGTTGAATGTTGTATCTAACACCCTTTGCTACTAACTTAATAATCGCTCTTCTAATTGTTCTATCTTTTTCATTACTAAAAGAAACATTTCTAGGAAAGAATGTTCTATCTGAATAAAAGTGTTCAGAATCACTTAATGGTTTATTAAACTTACCTTCCTCTCTATTTATTACGTGGATGCGACTCAACAGTTCTAAGCCCACATCTCCATTGGCCTTGACAGCACGTGCAGCACATTGAACCCTGGATCCTGCTTGGAAATAGATGGAGTCTAAAGCAATTGATTTGGTGTTAGTGAAGAAAGTATTGGAATCCACTTCACGCATAGGGCTGGTCACACCATCCATGCCACTTGGGGCACTTACAAGCCAACGATACAAGGTCATTGTGTCATTGATGTTTTCAGCAGCACAAATAGATCCAGTCTTGTCGTAATCTGAGTATTTGGGGTTGCACGCCTAAATGCCAAGATGCACATAATATATCCATTTAGTGACATTTAAATCTTTACCATGAAAAATGCTTAATTAAGATAAAATAATAAGATCTTTGTCTCTTTTTGTTTCACTAGAGCATTTAGCAAATTCCTTGTTCTTGTTATCACTTCATAAATCTGATTTTATATTCATCCTAGTTGAGGAATTAAGTATTACTGGCTCTGGCATTTAAATGTAAAATCCAAATGTTGTGGAAACACTTCAATTTATTAAAGCTTTGAATGAAAAAAGATACTGATATCACATCTATTAGAAAATCAGGGAAAAGAAAAAAATGAAGTATCAGTAGATTATCTAGGAAGTTGCAAGAAGATTTAGATCAAGTTTTAATTCTATGGAGAATGCATATTTAACATTAAGGAGACATCTATTCCTTGACATCAGTTTCTTTTCTGTGAAATCAGCATTAACATGATTTTTTTTCCCACAGGCAAAATTTTGAGGGCAAAAACTATAACTAATATTCTTAACATTAAATTTACTATGTTTTAAAATAGATACCAATAATCAAGTAAAAGACTGATTTGAAGTGATAAAGTGAAACTTTCCAGAAGGTTAGAAGATTAAACTCAAATACTTTTTTTCCACCTAGTAGTAGAAAAATTAGACATTATAATTTGGAAAAAAAGATGGATCGTACCGTTACACACACAATAGGATATCCATTGGGAGGCTGGGGATTTATTTTGCTTTTGGCAGTGTCATCATACAACAGAAGTGTTACAACTTGTGGCACAGCTGGGAAAGTCACATCTGCCATGCTATCCATTTCTTCAATGTATATAATGGCTTTACTCATCTGAATAGAAAAACATAAAAAGTTTCTATCCGCAAATATAAAGCTGACATGAAAGTATGCTTCCGTAACCAGATAATATAATTAATGTTAAAATTAGTCTACCCAGAAATAAGAGAGTGCAGAATATGAAGATATAAATTCAAGGAGCATACCATCCACATCTGATTAATTTCTGAAGCAGAAAATATTATGAAGACTTCTTTCTCATAATAAAATATAATAACGAAGAACTAGAATATATGAAATAATTATTAACTTAGTCCTTTTCATGATATCTGAAACCTAACTTATGATAGGTTATGATCATAAGACTTGTCTTATGCCAGTGATGGCGAACCTTTTAGAGACCGAGTGCCCAAACTGCAACCCAAAACCCACTTATGCATCGTCAGGTGCCGGGTGGGTGTGGCCCATTGGGTGGGCGTGGCTGCAGTGGTAACAGCAGACTGGGTGGGACTAAAAAGTTCAATCAATCAATTCCAACTTTGCAAGATCTTTTTTTTCCCCGCAAGAAATTGAAATTGACTGATTGATTGAACCTTTTTTTTTTGCACACGACGGTGGAGGCCTAAAGTGAAAAGTTTTATAAAACCCAGCTGAAGGATGCGACGGCGCGCGTGCTCACAGAGAGGGCTCTGAGTGCCGCCTCTGGCATCCATGCCATAGGTTCGCCACCACTGTCTTATGCCATTACTATCCATTCTAAAGGATGATTTGAAAAGTTTCTTTTAGTTAGAAGAAGAAATTATTCACTTGACAAAGGGAATCCTTGGAACCATTCCATGCCTCTGAAAACATATCAACCCAGGAAAAAGTTTTCCAAATTATTTGATAAAAGACACACCTATGTCCAATTCATCTTGATAGTGGTTCATATGGATCAATCCATATTTGCTAGAAAGATGTAGATTCAGATCTAGAATTCAATCATACTAAAACTATTTTTTGCTGATGGCAATGAGATATTATTGGAAGGCATCGACACTTATTTTGTCAGTCTAATGCAGGTAGTCCTCGAGTTACGAATGCAATGGAGTCTGCCCATTCCATTCGTAACTCGAGATTCGTAGGACTGAATGGCGTACCTTGAACATGATCACTCCCTGCTTTTGCCCACACATTCGCTAACTGAATGCGCGGTTCATTAAGTGCACATGAGGTATCTCAGGATGGGGAAGGCCATGGGAGGGGGCCTAGGGCTGGAACAGGCCACCTGCTTCAAACCACCCAAGGCCTCCCCCGTGAGGGTGAGAGATACCTCATGCTCCCCATAATTGCTTTCCCTCCCCCATCCTGCCATGCTGGGTCACTTACCTTGCGAAGATCTACCAAGCTGTCTCCTCTCCAGCCTCTCTATTGCACAAGTTCACGGCGCTCAGAAGCTTCTAGTCTCCATGCAAAATGTTTGCAAACTGACGAGAGGCTTTGGGTCAGCAAAATTTCTGCTTCAAAGTGTCCAGCCAGCTTGCAAATCTTTTGAGTGCCAAGACTGGAAGCTTCTGGGCGCTGTGATCTCACAGGACCTCAGGCTTCCAGTCGCCACACAAAATATACTTGAGGAAAGGCCTTTGCCAACGAGAACGGAAGCTAGGAGCGACATGTGCATCCATCCTAGGCTCCGTTCTTGGTGGCAAAGCCTTTTGCACAGATCTTGTCCAGGCCTTCGTTTGCAGAGAACAGAGGCCTAAAGTACCATGACAGCATACGAGATCAATAGTGTGAGATCTCGTGCTACTGATCTCGCATGAGCTTGCAGTACTTTTGGCCTCCATAATCTGCAAATGCACCGAAGGCCTGAAGCAGCGAAACAGGCCAAGAAAGGAAGACTCTAAATCTTCATAAAGTGAGGCCTAGTGCCTATGGAGACCCGAGGGTGAGGGGGGGGGAAGGAATAGCCAGGGTGAATGTTGCAGTGCCTCTGCGGTCATTTATAAGGGTGAACAACTGCCATGATGCTGCAACATTCATAATTTCAGGACTTGTTCGCAAACACTAGGGGGCACTTATTGCGTAACTTCGAACATTCACTAACAGAACATTCATAACTCAGGGATTACCTGTAGTCAGTCTAGAGATTTTAAATCAAGCCAAAGCATTAAACTTTTCAAATAATAGAAGCAGGATTGAGCAAAGCCTTTGCTTCCAGTTTGGTCTCCAACAGCAGACATGTATTCTGAAAAGCTAAGGCTGTTAATCAGGGCTTTTTTTCCTCATAGAACGCCCAGAACGGAGTTCCGGCACCTTTCTTGGATGGAACCTTGTAGGGTAGGCAAGGCAAGTTGTATGGTATGTGTGAGTTCCGGCACCTTTTTTTTTTTTTTTTTAGAAAAAAAGCACTGCTGTTAATGCTTTGACATTTCTGAATCATCCTCAACTGAATGCAAACTACAGGGCAAAGCATTTGGTTATTTACCTGTGTCTCAGCCACCATATTCTCATCAGGTTTCAAATGCACTGTAAATGCTTCACGCATTTCTCTCACCCCATCATACAAAACTTCAACCTCAACAAAGTGCTCAGTTTCTCCTTCTTTAAATTCAATATCTAAAATGAATCATGAGAAATGGGTCATGTCTGTGAAATATGAATATTCATCAGTTAAAGTTTTGCATTCACATTTTGTAGCATTAAAAGCATATCTAATTCCAGATTCTTTAAAATCTTATGCATTAATATTTGCTGCAATGTCCAATTTAGGATCAAAATCTTACCCTCAGACATTGGATTATAGTCTTCTCCAGAAGCAGCTGAGCCATCTTTAGTATGAATTCTTACAATAGAAACTTTGGAAGTATCTCCAAGTCGCAAGACTGAGATCTTTAAAACTGCAATCTCTCCAGGTTGCTGCGGTTCTTGAATGTTGTATTTCACCTCAGAGAATTTAATCATTGGTTCTGCAAGACAACTGAAAAATGTCAACTTCTCCTTTCAATCAAGGCTAAACTTCAGTATAGCTTTTAAGAATAGGCTGAGACAGGAAAGAAGTCCTAACACACACACACACACAAACACACACACACACACACAAAAAAAAAATTGATTAATGACAAGGCAAGAACAATGCCACAGGGAAAGTCTGTACCAGAGGGTACACATGAAAAAAAAAAGATTTTAAGTAAGTATTAAGGATTTCCTAATAAGCCACTAAACAATAGAAAGTTGATAAACTTTTTTGATAGAGGCAGAGGCTATAATAGAAAGCCTCTTATCAGGCCTAAAGTATTTATAAATGTTAATTCTTTAGTGTGACCAATTTATATTCAGCTATAGTTCTCTCTCCACTTCAGTCTTTTTATTTACTACTTTATTTTATTCAGTGGTGGAGGAGGGGCTAATCATTTCTACATTTTGAAAGAGAGGGGTACAACTTGTACCCCATATTTCATAATATGTTACCTTCAAAAACTGCTCAAAACATGTCACTGCATTGTCATTTTTAATGTGACAAAAGAGAAATTATTGATTATATGTGATTAATGTTTTAGGTACTTTTAATTAATATACTTTTAATTATATTTAATCTACAGTATAAAAATGTCCAATTTAATGCTTTACCTGATACACATTAAAAATGTGATACTCATCTAGAAAATATAATAAAATAAAGGGTATTTTGTTTTAAACTATTTATTTTATTAGACAATGGGGTTTAGGATAATTTTGAAGGAAAACAGCCAACTTACTATTATCTAAAAAAAAGTTATTGACCATTTGACTTCTTTTCATGGCTTTAAATTTTAGAAGTATTGTCCTTCAATGCAGAGATTAGTGACATATAAACGAATTCTATTTTTTTTACATAATAGTTGTCCATTTTCACACCCCTTGAAGTAATAATCTAAAGGTCCCTCTACAGAAAGAATAGCAAATGGCTCATCAACCTACTGTCTTCTTCATCCTTAATTTTCATCAGCACTTCTTTTGGCTCCCCAATGGAAGCACCAAACAAAGAGGTACTTTTTGGAGTTCCAAGCACCAGTCTGAACTCTTCCTCCTCTTCATAGATAGCATCGTCTTCCAAAACCACAAAACAGGGTTTTTCTATCTCTCCTTTAGGAAGCAAAAAGCCAGAGTAGCTGTTATAATATATTTTGACTCTTGGTGATTTCACGGATGTGTCCATTTAGGTTTGTTTGTTTTACAGCACTTTGAAACCAGTTTTTCATTAACGTATTCCAACATGGTTTTTCAATCTTCCCTGAAAATTCCTGGTGATCCTGAGCCAAATACTAGACAAGTCCAATTGCTTAGCCTTCAAGACCAGCCAGTTCAACCAAGAACTGCCAACTGCTGAATCTACCATTTAACTTTAGAATCCATGTTAAAACCACCAATGTTATTAAATACTATCTTATATAACCACTGAATATTGGGATGTTTAAATAATCAATCTTGAGAAATTGATTTGTTTTGAGCTTCAGTTCCCTTCATGATAACCAATTCTCCAAGGCAATGAATTTTTGTCCAAAATATCCATAACAAAACTTATATTCCCCTCTAAAGTTCACAGGTCTAAAAATGATAAATTTAAGCAACAATAATAACTAAAGCAGGAAAACAAAAAAACATCCCCACTACACTCTGCTTGATCAGGCAGCTGTTCACAAGCCCCTCTGTTCAGACAAAGAGTTAAAAAATACCTGAGGTACACAAATCTTTTATAGTGTGGTTTCTATAACCATTGATTAATAAAAGACTCAATTGTTTCCATCATAGCAGTGGAAGCAAAATCAGTGGACAACATGAGAACCTAGGTTTCTAGCTTTATATTCCTTGAACTTTCAATTACAATTTGTATGTTTATATAGCATACATGAATGCAAACACCCCAACAGGTAAGGAGATCTTACCTGGTAGGAATGTTATTATTGAATCATCTGTGTTTGGTCTCTCCTCATAGTCCAACATAACCTGGGCAGAACCTTGGCGAGTGTAGCAGCGGACAGTAGACTTATGATTAACATCTCCACTTCGTAAGATTATAGCTTCCACCTGACCATCTTTTTCATTCACAATGTAGAGTGGTTCCTTAAATTGAACTTTGGGTACTGCAAAAGAAATATGAATTATTCTATTCCATAGTCATGTCCACCTCATTTAAGTTCACTCTGTATATTCACTTTTCACTAATGTACACATAATTAGCAGAACTGTCAAATTTATAATCAGGGTTGCTCAGTTAAGAACTTGTTATATCAAAACATTTGGGGTAACTTGTAAAGGTGACTCACTTATCTGAATATAAGTATTTGTCATAATGTATAAACATAACTAAACTATTGATTAGGTAATCAACATAGGTTCTGCCTATGTCATTTATAGATTATGATTTATGAATTAAGAGGTTAAAAAAATCCCACTGTATAGTATGATGTCAGAAACCAGTTGATGGAATTATTTTATATAAAGAATTTAAACAGAAGCCATAAAAATACAGATAGGCCTCAAATTACAACAATTCATTTAGTGATTGTTTGGAGTTGGAATGGCACTGAAAAAAGTGACTTTTGACGATTTTTCACTCTTACAACCATTGCAGCATCCCCATCATCAAGTGATCAAAATTCAGGTGCTTGGTAATTGACTCTTATTTATAACGGTTGCAAAGTCCTGGGATCATGTGATCACCTTTTGCAGCCTTCTAACAAGCAAAGTCAACAGGAAAGCCAGATTCACTTAACAACCATGTTGTTAACTTAACAACTGCAGTGATTCATTTAACAAGTGTGGCCAGAAAGATCATAAAATGGAGCAAAATTCACTTAACAACTGTCTCATTTAGCAACAGAAATTTTGAAGTTAATTGTGATTGTAAGTCGAGCACTACCTATACTTAAAATTTGATTTCTTGGAGAGCATTTTGTTAGAGCAGCATTCTCCGGCTTCCTTCCTTCAGGTATATTAACTTCCAAACTCCATATCATCAGTTGATATTAATCTTGTTTGCTAAAACTGATGGGAATTAGTTAAGGTTTTTAAGAGACCAGGTTGGAGACAATTGTATCAAAGGCTATTAGTAAGAAAGTTTGTTCTAATTTTGTCTTTAATTGACAGGAAAGCTATTTTCTTCATGTTTGAATAGTTGCCAATGAAAGCTGTAAGATATTTAGCAGTGCCATTTTCTATTCTACTCTAAAGGATGCTGTTAGAAGGCAAAGTTACAAATGTTTCAAAATTATTAAAAATGAAGGAAAATAATGGCAAAACGATATCACTAATTAACATCTTTTTTTTTTTTAAAGAAAATACAAACTCCCGATCTATAAGATCTGCATTAGGCATTCCAACCTTTTCTGGAAGTGAAGTGTAGCTTAGGATGGTTCTCCAGATTTATAATGAACTCCAGTATAGTCTATGTCCTATTACTATCTTGGTAGCTAGGTAAGTAGAAAGGAAAGAATGCTTTCTCTAAAATTCAGACTTCCTAGATATAATTTCCATTTTTTTCTAAAAAGTATACAAGTTCTATTTCCCAAATTCAGTTTTAGCACTGTCTTGTATGCACGTATGGATCTGTTATCTTCTAGTTTTACCAGAAAATATTTGGTAAACAGTCAATTTATAGAAAACAATCTGCAATGCTTACAATCAGTGATGGTATCATTTATGATAATAGTAGCTTTGCTTGGCTCTCCAAGCACTGCATTCATTGGCATCTGTAGAACAAGTTCAAACTTTTCTGGGCCTTCAAGAACGGGCTGTCCTAGATCATCCAAGATAATTGCACGAAAAGTCTGCATGTTTACCCCAGGAGCAAAATCCATGTTTTGGCTTATGCCAACATAATCAACTCCAGCTAAAAGAAGAAGAGAGGACATTTAATTATGTGTACACTAATGTTCATATGATCCAGATGTCAGGTTATACACATTTTAAAATGCTTTTTTCATGCATTTTGGACACCCAACCATAGGACAATTGAACTTTCTATCACTTTAGAGAACTGTTCTAGAATGTCAAAAGGAGATCAAATAAAAGGCTACAATAATCAAAATCACTTTTTGTCACAGGAAAACCATCACTGACATTGTCTTGTTTTCATCTCTACTTTGAGATTATGTCAGGAAATTTCTAAATTTAACTGACATACAGGAATTAGAATGAGCAGAGCACAGGATATTGAATTTTATTTCCTCACATTTGAAAGCATTTTTTTTCTTTGAGGATACTGCTATAGCATATAGCTGAATTAGATCATTTTGTGGTTCCAGAATGTGGCTGGGCCAACAAAATAAGAGGGAATCATTCTGTGCCTTATTCAAACAATCTCAGGGAATAAAATTACAGAATATTGGAGCAACAAATTCATTGAATGTTGGGGCTGCTGGAATTTTGCTTATATGGTACTTTTCTATCTACCTGTTAGTTTATGAACAATATATAGCTCATATATATGAAGCCCTTAATGTCAACATAGGACAAAATGTTTGGTGAGAAACTACTGAGTAGATATATTAGTATATATCTACTCAATAATTAGTATATAGTAGTAATACAGATGAAACAATTCACCTTCTGCAGATACTGGTTCAGTTTTCCTGGAACGCACAGTTACAGTGGCTGCTTTAGACAAGTCTGTTCCAGTTCTCCAAACACGAACTTCTACATAGCCAGCACTCTCAGCAACGTAATATTCAGTGCCACCAAAATAAAAAGCAGGTTCTAAGACATAAAACAAAGATAGAAAAGAAAATGGTAATCATTTTAAAAAAAAGAAAAGAAAAAAAGACCAGAGTTCTTGTATTTAGTCATCTGGACAATTAAAAAAAGGGGAAACAAAGGATAAATACTTTTGGAGATTTTAAAATGTTAACAATTGTCAGCTGGCATAAAATAGGGGATCTATCAATATTTTTGGTTTTATTTTTAATGTCCCCAATATTTCCTAGATCCTCACGCTGAATCAAGATCAGAGAAAATCATGGGGAACATGCAATAACATATGTAACCTTCACGCTCTTAGTAAATTTAATAGATTACTTTTATTTATATCGACTATAGTAACATAATACTGAAAATCTGATTGTACTCTCCTCCTCCTTATTTCCATGTGAACTAGGGACAACTATCTGGCAAAGGGTAGAAGGGATCGCCTGGAAGGATAAGAAGAACTGCTACCAAGGCAATAGTAGGTATTGTCCAATAAATTACCTGAGAAAATAACTTGGGCAAACCCCTCCCTAATTCACATGAAGATAAATTGAGGGAGTGAGAAGCACATTCAGCCTTGCAAGGTTCTGGACAATTCAGGTAGTCCTTGCTTATAGACTGCCTTATTTAGCCACAATTGAAAGTTACATAAAGAAATTTAAAAAAAACAACCCTAGCTTTGCATCCAATCCTTACATCTGCAGCATCCCACAGTTATGTTATCATGTGCTTCCTAACTGGCTTCCAAAAGCAGATTTAATGCTGAACACAGAAGTAAAGCCACAAATTGCAGTAAGATGACATCTCACTTAACAAAAGAACAAGAAGTTTTGTTGTAAGGACTTTGTGGCCATATGATTTTTCTGCTTAGCAACCACAGCACTTAATGACAGAGTTGCCTGTCCCATTTGCAGTTGCTAAGCAAGGACTGTCAGTAAAAATAGTACTGACCTTTATATCCCAAAGGTGCTTTTTCATGAGGCACCATCTAACTGGATGGTGGGGAATGGAAGGATTTATACTCCTTGCAAGCAGTTGGTCATCTGCATTATTTCAGAGAGTCATTGAGCCACCTGGAGGCTTATCTGTGTCATCAGGGTCACCTGAATAGTGCAAAAGGGTGTAGAGCCTTCTTGGAATTGCTGAAAGGACTGTGTTGTAGATTGGAGATAGATGATGTCGTATCCCTCCCCCTCTGTTGAGAGAAGACTGTTCAATTTTGACATAGATGGCTCTTTCACCCCTCTTTCAAACCAGTGATCTTCTTGGTCCAAAATGTGGACTTTGCTGTCTTTGAAAGAGTGGCCTTTCTCTTTTAAATGCAGATGGACTGCTACATTTTGTCCTGATTGATGTGTTCTCCTGTGTTGGGCAATGCATTTATGAAGTGGTTGTTTTGTTTCCCCAATGTACAGATCTGCACATGGCTCACTGCATTCTACATTATATTCCTTGCTGTCTGCAAGGGGTATAAATCCTTCCATTCCCCACAATCCAGTCAGAGCTGAAGAAGCTTCTTGGATGAGAAGTGAAACATCTTCAAAGAAAAACAAGAAAGTCCAGTTGCCTTGTGAAAAAAGTACCTTTGGGACAACCATGACTGGATGACTGAGAATCTCCATAGACATACTGGCATTTATAGTTTCTTAGTTTTGTCTACCTTGCAGGGTTAGCATTCCAGTTAGGGTAACAGACTGAAATATTTGTGCAAATTTTCCATATGTCCCAGACTTAATCTATCTTTCCCTTGTCATTAGTTAATGGTTCTCTCCTTTTTCCTTCAAACTGTCCTCCTTAATCTGAACAGATATTTATCCTACATACATTTACATACACATAGCTCTCTGCAATTAAGATCAATTTTCAAAAAATATAATGATGTAAATATGTCAGGTATAAATCAGACTTTGAACTCATTCTCAGATTATTTTGCCAAGTGCAACCTAAAACCCATTTTCTATAGTGGTATAACTGAAAATGCATCTAAAACATTAATCTGTGGAACTGAATAGTACAGTGTACTGTGGATAGTAAAGATCTCTTTTGTAGATTGGATATTGATAACAACAATGCAAAATAAAGCCAATCCCAAATAAAATTTATATATAATAATACTCTTACATTTTATTGTAAGGGATAAAATTGAAGGAAGAACCTGTAAATACCTCAAAGTAAAACTATAAACTCACATTTCCTCATATTAGTAATCAGTTTGTAAAATCTATATTAACTCATGAGCTTTAATCACAAAGGGAAGCAAAGGGAAACTTTTTGAATAGCATATATAGTTTAAATCAGATAATGTAATTGCAAATTAAAGACAAAGCAAAACATTAACTGTTTATTATATCTTAAATTCTGGTTCCTGTGACCATTGATGTTTAAGATTCTCATTTATCCCTCCCAAAGTCTGGGATGGCTATAATCTCAACATCTAATTGTGCACTAAACTCTTTTATTTCCTTATCTATTAACTATGTCATAAGTAAATAAAAATACTTTTATTGTTGAAAATACTAGCCTCCTCACAGTGAAATGTTCTGTGTAAACTACTCATTTAAAAGGCATTTCTGTTTTTTCAAAGAGGCCCTCAGAGAATTTGCTCAGGCAGGCTATCCCCAGTGGTCCCTCCACAATTGAGAAACACGTGTGCCAGGGCTGAAACCTGTTCTACCTGCCCTGCCACTTAAACATTCCTGTAGAAAACCATGGTAAGATTTCCACTTCCTTGTAAAATCACAAGTTGTTTGCATCTCCATCTTCAAAGCTCATTATCGTATAACTGGATCCTTTGTTGAGTTACACATGAGCAGGCAGCATGTTTCTGCATAACAGGAAAATAATACAAAACCCACAGCTTCCTAGAGTATGATCAAGGGCTAGTAACAAAACCCATATTGTTCACCCCTAGGAGGAATATGAAGATCAAAAGACTAGATTTTTTTGGTCTTCAGTACTTGATTATGCAGCTTTTTCTTTAATAGGAAACATGAGCAGTTTGCTGGTCATATAGGTCACCAGCTGTCATATTACTGTGCAGAGCAAACAAACCACTGATTACCTTCTAAAATTCTTAAAATTAAACCTTCCTATCAGTTCTGTATGCATTATTTAATATGAGACATACAATTTTCATGATGCAAAACAACAGAATTTGTAATATATGATAACTGACATTTTATCTAATAGAATCAAAATCTAATTCTTTTACCAGATTACAAAGTAGATGCTGGATTAAACAAACAGAAGCTTTAATCCCGAGTACCTCAACTCACCATCCTCTATGTGTGGTGAAACTACTCTCTCAAAATTCTAGTTGGAAATTCTGAAAGCAACAGTCTCATATGGAAAATGCCAAACTGGGGGATATGTGATCTTCACTTCCTCTTATACTTCGGACAGGTTTTATTTTTAAGGGTCTTTTATTTATTAAAATAAACCTATAACCATAACTTAAAAGAAAGAAATCAATAAATAAAATACAAAAATGACAGTGCATGGGTATTGTTGTCAGTTTTTAAACAATTCTGCATATCCATTTCTTGCTATTCACTAACATAATTTATTTAAGATAAGATAAAGATAACCTTTATTGTCATTTTTTTTACTGTGGGCACAATGGCACACATCAAAAATGAAATTTAGTTGCCTGCTCTCAAAGTGAAACACATACATGACACACACCTAAACATACTATATGCGACATATGTATTTCTTTATAGAATGACAGTCAATTAGTCCAAGAAAGTCAAGCTCTCTCAACATTTCTAAATATGGAATGTCCTGTTATCAGAGTATTCTACATGTTGCCCAAAACAATGTCCTTCAAAATGATTTACATAAGATGATTTAAATAATCGTCCCTTTGCTATATCATCTGGCTCATTCTTTGCCTCCTTGATTCCCCCTGTTGTCTTAACTTCAGTTTTTATAATTACAACCTTACAGAAATGAAATAATGAATTTCCCTTCCAAATGGCCACATCAAGACACATACAGACACCCTACGGAATAGCCAACATTCTAAACATGTGCTCAGCTGCAAATATGGTGATGCCTGACAGGGATGTCTCATTTACTTTATAGAATGAAATTAAGGTCTCCAAAGCTTCCCTTCTGCCTTTCTATGGGTTGTGGAAATGAGAGTGTCCTTTCTGACATTAGTAAATGAAGCTTGGCTGCAACAGCACCATACTCCAAAGTATCTCTCTGGGACCAATTAGCTGGATCTTAACTTAAATGTGCACTGTCCAAAAGTATTAGTACTGATACATCTGAATGAAAACTAATAAACAAAGCTACATTCACTTTTCCAGTGTGCAGATTTCCCCTCTCTCCATCCATTGCCTGCTCTATTTTCTTATAGATATACATACATCATTCTTAGCTCTGATCCATTATATTTTAGCAGCAGTTTTAATCATTCCTGGAACTGATCTTGTAAATCTTTCACAAATTCAATATGGTAGGCTAACTCTGCTCATTGCCAGCAGTATGATCCCGACTGTCTCCATGTTGACTCAACCTTCCATCCTTCTGAGGTTGGTAAAATAAGGACTCAGATTGTTGGGAGCTATATGCTGACTCTGTAAACCATTTAGAGAGAGCTGTAAAGCACTATGAAGCAGTTTATAAGTCTGAACACTATAATAGGGATTTTTTTAAAAAAATATCTTCCAATGGCCTAACTCAAGAATTCTCTTTCCAGAAATGATGAGTGTAACGAAGTTCTCAAACTGAGCTTCACTTCTGCTAACTAAATGGGCTCAGTCTATAATTTTCTTAGCTATTAGGTAGAAATGGTTGACCATGCCTTTTTCTAGAATGTTTTCAACTTCTCAGTTTACTGAAAATACTTGCGGGTATTCCCCAATTATCTCCCACTGAAGTAGTAATGAGACCCAACTCTGCTTAACATCTGAAACCAAAGAAGACCAGAAAGATCTGCTACCTGCAGGAATTCTCCACCTTCCCCTAAATATTTAGGTATGCAGTAGCTTAGGAAATGTGCTCCTAAAACACAATGCTATAAACTTTTATGAGAAGTTTCTCTCTGAATGCCACAACCAGCAACTGATCCTCTGAACTACTTTACTTAAAAATGAAATACAGTTCTGTGAGCACTCAGACAGGCAGGTTTCCTGACGCCAAATCAAGTTGTGATAAGAAGCACACCAGGAACTCTGATTGTTGGGCCCATTAATGCCATTAGGCTTGAGACAAGTACACAGCATGGAAGAGGGTTCATCTTTTGTTGCCAAATGGAGAGGGTTTTTTTTTTTCAGGAAGCATCCTCCTCTTCTGGCCTTTAAAATCTGGGAAAGAAAATAGCTCTCTGATTTTTACAGTTGCTTAATTCTCTCTTTATCCTCCTTTCCTGTTAGCAAGAAAAGGACAAAATAAGAGGGGTGCCATGCAAGTGAAAAGTGTAATGTACTTTATGTTCATTCTGTTTAATAAAGAAGCTATTATGGCATGACCAACTCTACTCTCTTGGGCTGCCTTTTTTCCAGTCTTTACCATCCTCCACTGAAGAAATTCATTCATGTTTTCCTTTCCATTTAAACCCCCCCACACACAACTTCTGCCCTGAATTCTTAAAGCTTTTTCATGTATTGTTAGGTCTGATAGCCTCGTCACATTTATTATTAAACAAGTCAAATGTTTCATTTACATGAGAATTGCTAAGTATCCGAAGGGTATCGATGCAGTTATTCATAATTATGGGCAAAATCAGAGGCTGGTAATAAGCCAGTGATAGATATTACATATAAAATGCTTTCATTCTTTAAGGAAAATGAGGTGATAAAATGTAGAGGAAAGATGCTACTATTATTGCTGCTACTACTACTACTACTAGAATTTGTTTTCTACTGCATAATCATGTAAGCAATCCATCTTCTAAAATATTAAAATATCAATATGTATTATTTTTAAATTTATACTGAATATACATACATTAAAAGGAATAAGTTAGAAATAGAGTTTGTACAATGAAACAATTGAAATAAGTTAAATAGAAATCAATGGGTTTTATTTCCAAGTATAAGTGCTTAGCATAAATAGATGTAAGTATATATCTGAGCAGACATCTATATGCTTGTAGTAAAGTTAGTTGCTATTAGTTTCCCTTTAAATTTAATTGATCAAATGATGACTGAAGTTTTACTTCAAAGACATTTAAATATAACAAGCCTCCAAGAATCTAATATAGCATCTCTGCCGACAACTTTGGGTGACAAACATCTTATATCAAAATCGGTTCTGAACCAAATCATGTTTGAGTCACACTGTTGGAAGAACTGTTTTACTGAATGAGTCAAAATATTCTTGTTCAATAGTGTGTGTTGCCCTTAGTCCAGATCAAATTCATTTTGCTTTTAAGTAATAATTTGAGAGTTAGTTCTGTCTATTCAACTTTTCAGAAAACAGAATATTTCTTTCAATTTAAACCCATCTAAAAATTGAAAGCAATGAATACAACAATCATATTAGACACCAAACAAAAACTAAATATTCAAATAAATTAAAAACCCACCTAAATAACCCATCTCATCTAAAAGTGAAACAAAATGTCCAGAATAGAACAAATAATATGACTTATGATTGAAAACATGATTCTGTAATCCAAGATGTACATATGCATATATACATATATATATATATATATATATATACACACATACAGTATATGGATAGATAGATGATAGATAGATAAGCTAGACAGACAGATAGATAATGTGTAGATAAATACAAGAAGTGACTAACATGTGTACAAGACTTCATAAAGCGAGGGAATAAGTACTCAGGGACCAAAACTTGAATAAATGCACTGAATATTATAAACCTTGAAAAGATCTGTATTCTTTCTACTCACGATCATTTATATCAGCTAAAATGACGACTTTAGTAGTTGGAAATGCAGCTCCAATTTTTCCACCCAGAGGCATACTTAATGTGACATTAAATATTTCATCTTCCTCATAAAGTGAATCATCAATAATTATGACCCGGCATATTTTCTCCTTCTCATCCTTATGAAAGCGAATTAGGCTGGTATGGTCATCAGGACGAGATATGTAGTCAGAATATGACAAGAGTGTAGAAGGAATTGTGCCGGTGGCAGTCCCTTAAAGAAAAATAAAATAAATGTCAGTGAATATATATTTACAGTATTTCTTTTTGTGTATGTACAGTACATTATATCTGCAATATTTGCACTGTAATTTTGTTACATTTATAGTTATATAACTACAGCATATAGCATACAGTGTTCAAATGTTTATGGTTCTATCAGTGGCTTTACATCAAGCAAATTATAACCAGAATCATAACAACCTAACACAGACGTGTCAAACTCGCGACGTCATGTGATGTCGCGCAATGTATCGGGATGGTTTTGCCATTGCCAGCAATGGGGTGGGCGTGGCTTCCAGATGACGCATCCGGCCCACAGGCCAGCAGTTTGACACCCCTGACCTAACATCTCTGTGCCACTTAACGAGTATAAGTCAATTTTCTTTGTCCCCAAATGTTTTCCTGAAAAAAATGTGTCTTCAGAAACCCAACAGGGAGGGGTAGGGTTAGGACACTCCAGATTATCAGGAGGTAAGCTGCTTTAAAGAGGGATCCATCACTGTTATCTGTGTGTGCATGTGTATGTATGTATGTGTAATATACATTACAGATAGCAGAAAGCAGCATGTGACATAAGTTCTTTTTTTTCCAGTTTCCAGGCTGAAAACAATACAGTAGTGTGATGCTCAAAGTCCAATTTCTGAAGTCCTACTTTTCCCAATTATCTCCAAGTTACTTTTAGAAGAAAATTAGACATCCTGAGACTTGTTGGGTGATTGTTTCAGAGATATTTCTTATCTAAACAGAGGAACACAAGAACCATGGGCAGGAAAGAAAGAAAGAAAGAAAGAAAGAAAGGAAGGAAGGAAGGAAGGAAGGAAGGAAGGAAGGAAGGAAGGAAGGAAGGAAGGAAGGAAGAAAGAAAGGAAGGAAGGAAGGAAGGAAGGAAGGAAGGAAGGGAGAGAGAAAAAAAAGAGAAAGAAAGAAAGAAAAAGAAAGAGAAAGAGAAAGAGAGAAAGAAAAAGAGAAAAAGAGAGAAAGAAAGAAAGAAAGAAAGAAAGAAAGAAAGAAAGAAAGAAAGAAAGGGAACAACTTTCAAATTCTTGCCAGAAAGTGGATTTCCTTATGGCAAGTTGGCAGTGAGCATTAGAAACCTTCCTCCCTTCCCTTCCCTTCCCTTCCCTTCCCTTCCCTTCCCTTCCCTTCCCTTCTCTTCCTTATAATATAAAGTATTAGAAGCATTTCACTTTTTTTCCTCATTTCATATGAGAAACAATTATAATTAGGAGGTTTTCACTAAGTTAATTATATCCCTGTTTAAATATGTGATATGTGGGAAAGAGCTTGGGAGACTAGGCTAGACGATGTTGCTAATGGAACTCTCAGATAAGAGATAGCCTGGCCTGCTCCTGGAGAATGGGTGGAGCAAGAGGCTGAGGAAAGACCCTCCCTGGTTTCCCAGTCTGTACAGGAGGTGGGAAAATTCTGTCATTGTGATCTTACAATAAAGTAGAATTAGCTAATATGTTGTGATTACTATCTAGTTTACCCTATGAGGCTAACAAAATAGTTACATATTATATTTTATTAACAACTTATTTCATCAGGATCATTTTTCATACACAGGCTTTATATATGACTTTTTAAAAGTTATTTTTTTAAAATGTTTCTATATTACAGTATTTGTGGATCAATTCCACTAAATCAGATATAATAGATTTTGTAAGAGAATTTTTAAATAGCAACATCTGTTTGATATTTTATGCATGTGTAAAATCCCATTTTAGGCTTGTATAATCTTAAATTGCCATTTAATGGACATTTGCCTCTGGTGACAGCCCTTTTTACTATGAGTCCATTAAATTAAGGTTTTATTCTGGGTATATGCCATAGACTGTAAGCTTAGGATTTCTGTAGGTGAGGAACAAAGACTCAAGTGAACAAACAATATTGTCAAAAACAATTTGCATTAGCTAGAATTGCAACTAACCAGAATGAGCATTTCAAGTTCAAATATAATGATAAACAGCTATATTATGAGTAAAAGCAGAATATTTCAATCTCATCTTCTTGTAGTGTGAGATTCAATATTTGTTGTACAGTAGTTATTTCATTAGAAGTATTGTTTCTTAATTGGCACAAAGAGAGGTTGGATATATCAACCAATGGAAGAGTTTATATCCCCTTCTTTCAAGCAATATTACAAATAAGAACAGCACCATTCATACATGCACATAAATCAGTAAAAGCTGTGATGCACAGTTGAGTATTTAGAGATATACTATTTATCAATAGAAGACTTATTTTTTATTTCATTTAGAAAATATACTTTCAAACTAAGCCTGTACAAGTATATTAACCTGTAAAAATATAGTACAATTTATTCCCCACCAAATTCTATGTTTGGTCCAGGTGGTCTGGGCTGTTCTGCTAGTTTGGACTTTTAAACTCCATATTTAGAGTTCCACATATTAAGCATTCCTTTTATCTATAGATAGACTGTATATAAGTGTTCTAAACCAAGCTTCATTATAACATAAATGTTTGGAAGAAAAAGAAATCATGTACAATTAGTCAGGCATTGGAGCAATCAAAGTGGCTAATATACAAAATACAGATTTATTTCCTCATGAGAACTAAGCTAATATGACCTGTACAATGCATTATTTGTGCAAGAAAGCAATAATACATGCTCAAAAAATGGCTTTTAAGAAAAAAATAAAAGTACACAATAAGCACATTGTAATTACTTAGCTCTTATCTTTGTATAATTAATACAAATAATTAAGCAGATATTGCTATATATACAACCTCAACTATACCTATTCTCAGATCAGATATGGGGGGGGGATTTATATGTTATATTTGGGGAGTATACAAAGTTTGGCAAGAAATGATAGGAATGTAAAGAAGAACTGTTATCTTGAAAAAGGGCAAATATACAAAGGAAGGAATTTATTTGAAGCAGTGGGTTGTGTTTTCAATTAAAACAGAATTTAGATTACTTTGGCTAAAAAACAAAGATACTAAGAGTCTACTTCAAAAAAAAGAGTTTACTTCAAACTTTGCTTCTTTGAGAGGTAGTATGGGTTACTCCCTAACACTTGCAGTTTGGAAGAGTCACTGTCTTCCCTGTTACTTTATCTAGAAGTAACATGACTAAGATGAATAGGACGGGTCCCAACAAGGTGAAAAAGAATGAAGAAATAAAAATAAGCAGAATCCCTCTCTCCAGTCACAGTTCCAATCCTTACTGCCCTGTACAACTGTACAGCTGTAAGTACAGGTAGTCCTCAACTTACAACAGTTCATTTAATGACCATTCAAAGTTACAATGGCACTGGAAAAAGTGACTTATGACCATTTTTCACACTTACAGCCATTGCAGCATCCCCATGGTCATGTGATCAAAATTCAGAAGCTTGGCAACTGACATATTTATGGTAGTTCTAATGTCCCAGGGTCATGTGATCCCCTTTTGCAACCTTCTGACAAGCAAAGTCAATGGGGAAGACAGATTCACTTAACTACTAGGTTGCTGACTTAATAACTCCAGTGATTCACTTAACAAATGTGGTAAGAAAGGTTGTAAAATGGGGCAAAACTCAATTAACAAATGTTTTACTTGGCAACAGAAATTTTAGGCTCAGTTGTGTCATAAATTGAGGACTACTAAGCATTTAACATAAACAGCACATAACAAGGGCTGAATTATGCTCTCCCTTCTCCACAGCATTCCACATTCATAGAATAAAAAGATGTTTACATGCTGAGCCCTGTAAGTACAACATGGAAGAGTCTATTCCCGTGGTGGCGAACCTATGGCACGCGTGCCATAGATGGCACGCAGAGCCTTCTCTGTGGGCACGCGCGCCATCGCCCCAGTCCTGGGCCTTTACCTGGGTTTTATAAAACTTTTTTGCTTTAGGCCTCCGCTACCGTGTGCAAAAAAAAAAGGTTCAATCAATCAATCAATTTTAACTTCTTGTGGGAAAAAAAAGATCTCGCAAAGTTGGAATTGATTTATTGAACTTTTTAGTCCCACCCAGTGTGCTGTTACCACTGCAGCCACGCCCACCCAATGGGCCACGCCCACCCAATGGGCCATGCTCACCCGGCACCCGACAATACACAAGTGGGTTTTGGGTTGCAGTTTGGGTACTCGGTCTCTAAAAGGTTCGCCACCACTGGTTTATTCTATATAGAAGCTGGTCTAATGTAAATTAAAACGTTCATTTTTCTTGCCTCCACAAACTGTTCTGAATGTTTAGGAGTCAATATTACTTTTCAAGTTTAAAAACTCTCTATATACATGCAGTCCTTCAAGTGTTTATTTTAAAGTTTTACTGCATTAAATGAGACTAACTCTCAATGAACTGAGCATAAAATTACAAGTCCTGAAATTAATTAATGAGCTTACACCACGTTATTCTATCACAGGTCTATTTCTAGTTAGGCCACCTAGTAAGGCTCAATATAAAAGCCTCTAACTAAAAGAAACTAATCTTTTTTAAAGTGGCTATGAACCTGTTTTAATACTTTCATCTCCCTATTACAACCTGCAGCTGTGCTGACATACCTAACATCTGAGACCAACAGCTGTCATGCTTCACAAACACAACTTGACTAGCTGTCTAACCCATGGGGTTATAAATCTTGCAGCATATGCACCAGGCAGAAATTCATCCTGCCTTATAAGGAAATAAAGTAATAGGGAAAAATGATCTTGCATACATTTTCCACCAGTTCTCCCATTAAAGTATGACTAAGCTGGACAAGAAAAATACAGAGGTATTGTATTTATATTAGCATATCCAACATATTTTTAGTATCCATTCATCATTTCTACATGTTACTTGGCAGTTTGCTTCTAAAATCAATTTACAAATCATTTAACAAATACACCTGCCACCTTCTGTTGTGCAAGTTTAATAAAAAAA